GAGGCGGGACGGGCGTGGGCGGCGCAGCGCCCTCTGCGAGGCAGATGAAGCACGCTGCGTGTCGAGAATTCGGAAGCGGCCGGCGGCCGCATCGCGGACAGAGCTGGGTGTCCGGGGGCTGCGATGGTGGCGATGGCGATGCTGCGGCAACTGCTGGGCCTTGGCCTTGGTTTACGCATCTTCCCTTCCCACTTAGGGGCAATCGGGATGGCCGACATGGCGACTCCTGCACGATTTTCTCATTTTCCTTCGGGCTGCATCGCTTGTCACTTGTTTGTATTTGTTGGGCAGTCACGCCGCATCAAGTGTTAACAGAGGGGGAAGCATTTACACTAATGCTGTGAATTCCGCGATAAGGTTAGCCGTGGATTGGGCCGTTCAAGGGGGGGCCGTTCGAGGGGATCGCGGCGAGAGCGTCGGCGCACCAGCGGTCAGCCGCGGAACGTGCCGTGGATGGACCTAGTGTTGCCTCCATGCGGAGATGGTCCGTAGTGGTGCAAAGGTGGTGTGGTGGAGTGGTCTCGTCATCGCTGCAGCCATTCTTCTTCTATTTCCTTCTATGACTCATTTCCTTTTCTTCCCGTTGGACTCGTTTCTTCTTTCGGAGACTCAAGAGCAACTGAACGACCCGTGCACCCTCATTTGCAGGCTGCGAGGGAATGAGACAGATCTTGCCGCTGACATACGCGCCGTCTCTCAAATGAAGAGGAGACAGGAGCCTTGCGAGACCTACAGAGTCAAATTCGAGGGCGCTACGCTGGCACTGGGCATTCTGAGGTCACGAGGGGCGAAAATTGAGGCAATGACAGAGTCGCCGTCTGTGGTGATGGCCACGGCCTGGAACGTAACATACAGAATGAACCATAGTGCAAGAGGGAATCCGACGAGCGTGTGTGTGGGTGTCTGTATATATGCAGTTTCAATTTGGCGCCGAAAATGCCACTTTGGTCAACCTGGCATGTCTCGACTGCATCTTCAATATCGCACTTTATGCTCACCTACGAAACATTCCTCTATTTGTCCAAGATAGCAGTCGGAGTGACCTGGAAGGGAGATCGATTTATTATGTAAAGGTTGGTCGGCTCTGACATCGTGGACGCCTTTGAATTTTTTGTGCCTTCATACATTCCACACACTTCTCTTTCAGATATTGCTTATTCGCCGTCTACTGAAGGCGTATTCCACTGTGATGTGGATGAATAGTGACGCCTTTGTCAAAGATTACAATCTTCTTATCACAGACTTCTTTTCGCCTCGACTCTACACCGCTTACAGTGACTTAATCGCCCAAAACCCGCAAGTCCTTCATGCAGTCCAGATCGTAGTGCAGCAGGATCCATGGCTGAATACCGGTATGTCTTTATGGACCACGATGTTTAGAGTCTTGAGTACAATATGACCGCCTTTGTCTTTCTCTGTCTCCCGTCGTAGGTGTCATGATATTCAGAAGGGGAAAGTGGACAGACATGGTTCTGACTCGGGCCTGGGACGATGGACATCTCTTCCAGCGGCATCCGGCGGAGCAAGTGGCGCTACAGCATGCCATTCAACACGCCTTCCAAGTGTATTCGAACAGCTTCCCATACAACGACGCCTGCATTCACAGAAAATTGAAGGACAACGAATGCTGGAGAAGTGCTAAAAGTGCTGATATTCGGTTGTATCACTGTCATCGCGCATTCTACTGCATCGGGCGAAGATCGCCAAGGCTACAAGATTTTAAAACTGTCCCATTCTTGCTTGGTGTTGATAATGGTCCGTCACAGGCAACTCTTCTCCAGGTAAGTTAAGACCTCGATATCACGCAACGATAAATCTTTTCCTTGTGGCGCCAACAGTGCGTAGACCCACACCCGGCATGGCGGAGAAAGTGCCGATGTCACACATTTGTGATTCACGCTGGTTCAAAGAATCTGCGTTCCAAAGCAATGCTGTACTTTCGTCAGAAGCTTGGGCATGTCTTGTTGCCCATATGATCCCCTGAAAGCCTTACTAATATTCCAGTGTCTCCCGACGAGGTCACATTCAAGTGAAAGGACAAAGAAAAAGTCCTTTGTGTGCTGACATGCCCGACCTGATCTCCACAATCAATCAGCTTGATATTCCACATGACCGGCCTTCTTCCGGCCGCTCGATTTGCCTTGTTAGACACAGATGTTGTTGCCCCCACCGATTGTTACGTTGCCCTCCCGATGAAGTCGCACTTCTTTCTTCACAGCAAGAAAGTGTCGTTGTACAAGGAAGTGCATTAATCTCCGTGTCGTTGTACAAGTTAAAAGCCCATCCGGGATTCACACTCTTGCACTTCTTTTCTCACGTTCTCATTGTTGCTTGGGAGAAAGGCAGCGGTTTCACGGATCAATCTGCGAGCTACACTTCGAAGATCTGAGCTTCAAAAGAAGGGGCCATTGCCTCGTCAGGAGGCAAAAGAAAGCTGCAGCTGGCTACGCCCTCGCTTTGCTATGCTCGGGTCTGATCCGTCGTCCGTCGTGCGGCAACGGCGGAGAGAGCAAGATCCACGACCCAGCGACGCCCTGCCGACCCCCAACTCACCCACCGACCAGCGGCAGGAGTATCCTGGGAGCGGGAGGAGGGAGGCGCTTGTGTACTACTCCAAGGCTGTGGTGACGGCGCTGCACTGCTTCCTGTGTGGCGTGTTGGACGCCCTGCAGGTCCACCGGTGCGTAGTGTTTTTCGTCAAGTCTGAGATCATAAGGACGAGGTGCCTGCAGTGCTTCATAATGAACGGCCTCATCTTCCTCGGATCCATTCTCATCTTCGACCACCTCATACTGCCGCTCTTCTACCTCATGGTCAGCCGCGCACGGAGGGAGCGGCGGACATACACACGATGGGCTGGTATACTGCGTGTGTGGATCTGCAGGCCCACTACACGTATTCGTGTCTGATGGGTTTCTCTCACCTGGCCACAGCGGGGCCGACGCACACGGCGCTGAGTGTGTCCATATCGATGATCCCCCTGCTGTCCTCCTTCTCCCTCTCCAGTGGGGACCCGTCGGCGATTGCCACCTCTCTGCAGCAGGCCAGCACCAACGCTACGCTGACAGACCACTTGGCGCAGCACCTGTACAAGCTGCAGACCAACGACACTCTGGGTGGTGGCGGAGGCAACGCGTCACTGGCCGAACAGCTGGCCTTCAATGCATCGACTATGCCACACGGCAATAATAGCACCGTGGACACGAGGGAGATTGTCAAGGCGGTGGGGTTTTGGTTCGGGTGTCTGTACCGAGTGCTGTGGATCTACCCTATCTACTATTTGAGTTTCATCCTCAACACTCTCTGGTACCAGGACCTGGCCGACCAGGCCTTCATCGTGTGCCAAAAGTACCCCCACCTCTTCCCATCACAGCACAACGCCACTGACAGGGGGGCGATACCTGACCATGGTGAGTCAGTGAGACAGATGCGGATGGGCAGTGAGGGGCGACTGACGCACACCAATTGCCCACTGATGCATTCACGTCGACATGTGCAGGTGCGAGGAAAAGAAAAGCTGCCCCTTCACCATCCGGCCCCTCCCCCCACCCGCCGTCCCAGTCGTCACCACTTGACCGCTCGCCGGTCCCCCACCCGTCTACGCCCCCAGCCCACAGTTCTCGTGTGAGGTTTTTGGATCGCCTGGTGGATGAGGTGTTCCGGGTGCTGCTCAACATGGTGTGGATCATGCAGACGTACGTCCTGTGGTGCATAGTGCCGGGTTACCTGGGGGTGGTCGTCTACGCCCTTCAGAGCAGCTGGTTGGCCAGCATGTACTGCTTCGAGTACAGGTGGGTCTCCGTCCTCAAGTGGTCGGCCTGTGAGCGCCTCGAGTACTTTGAGAGCCACTGGCTGTACTTCGCGGGCTTCGGGATGCCCCTGACGCTGCTCTACGTCATGTCGCCTCGGTTCATCGACAGCGGCGTGTTCGCCCTCATTTTCCCCGTGTGCATCCTGCTGTCCATCACGGCGACCCCGAGGCCCTTCCCCTACCCCCCATTACAGAGGCTGCCGATATTCTACCTGGTACAGCTCGTCACCTGGGGCGTGCTCAAGTATGGCATGACCGAAAAGCGAGACGGGGAGGGGAAAGCGGACAGTGTGGAGGCGGACCGGTGTAGACAGACACACGAGGGGTCGGCCTTCCATCAACTCTTCCCTGATCCACCGCCCAAGCGTGTGGTGAAATGAATGATGGGTGAAAGGATGGGTGACCTGTTGTGCCAGATAACAGACGGCTATGGGCAGGTGGACAGAAAGTGCTGCATTGTCGTGCCGCTGATGGTGTTGTGACTTTTTGTGTGAGCGCGCGATTGTCGATTGGAGGCCCCGTGAAGGACAGATGTGTGTAGCTTCGAATGCATGTATGTGATGTATGTATAAAGTATGAAATGCCTTCCTTCATCGGATCTCTCCACATCTGTGCCGCACACACGCGTCTCGATGTGCTTCCATCACAACAAATAGCGTCCTTGACACGCTTGGCGCTGACCCACAAGACAACGCAACCTGTGTGCATCCCCATCTGCGTGTCTACGGCAGCAGCACTCCATCTCTGTCCAGGAAAACACGATGGAACACCTGACCGCCATATCGATACCTGCACCCGACGTGCCATCCGCACACACAACACGTCTGTCACCTGTCCGTCATGGCTTCGTTGCTTTGCTCGCTTGCCTGATGTAGAGCTGAGGCTGCACGCCATTGAGGTCAGCACATGGGTTCGCAAAGCCCACCAGCTGCGCCTTGGGCGCGCATGACAACTCCAGCCGGCTCTCACGCACCTGTAAGAACACAGGCAGACACGAGGGCAAACCGCAATCCCTCCTCTGCATGGCTGAATCCATCCCTGTACGTGTGGGTGACCTGGTGCATGAGAGGGACGGTGACATCGACAATGAACAGGGAGGATGGGGGGTCCTGCCGCAGCAGCTTCGGGTGGCCGTACCGCCCCGCCTCGATCACCAGACCCGAACGAGACCGCTCTCGGTCGCGAGACTCCTCGCTCGCCTGCAACCACCCACCCAGACACCCATACACAGATGACACTCTCACATACGTACATCCATGGACACATGGCACCGCACCCTGTACTGGAGGCTGCGGTCGTCCCTTGCTCGCTGCAGCTCCTGCTTGGTCGCCTCGCTCAGCCGACTCTCATCCGGCACCGTCGTCGCATCTCCATCCATCTGGGAGACGACCTTCGCACCGTCAGCTAACTCCTCGTCTTTGAGAGCGCTGGACACTGCCGCCATGAAGGCACCGAAGGCCTCTCGGATGCCAGCGGTGATAGACGACTGCTGATGCTGGGCGGGCCTCAGCGGGTCCCGCACGAGACTTCTGTAGGCGCGGCTCCGGAGCTCGCCTAAGGCTACACGGAGATTGGCCAGCGCCTCAGTGAGGTGACGGCCAACTCTCTTCTTTTTCGCATCTGTGGACACGACGAAACACGCGATGAATAAGCGAATGGATCGTCTTCCCTTGTCGTCTACGGTCTCCTACGCACATTTGTGAGCATGCTTGATGGTGAGGTAGGCGGCGGGCGGGATGGCACCCAGGAGGAGGAAATAGCCCACCAGCTGCAGCTGCAGAAGATCCAGCTCAGATGACTGAAACAGCTGCAGGCAGGCAGGCAGGCAGACAGAAAGGAATATACGCCCTCACATAGATAGGTCGTGGACACGGCTAACACACCTGTATTGGGAAGGTGAAGCTCATCCCGGCACGCACGATCCTGCATTCATGTGACCAAAACAGCGAGTCCGCACCAATCATCACGGTCAACACACCTCTCCGTACCTGAATTTGAGTGAGAAGGCGTTTGGCCTCCACAGTACGCCGTACTGCATCTTGGTCAATTCATCGACAAAGGAAGGCCGAAATGACACCACACACTAATACAACGAAAGGGAAACCGACACCCACAAGGAAATGAGAACGAGAATCAACAGGCTCCGCTTGCGTGCATTTGTGAGTGCACGACGGCTGTAGGTTGACCTCAGTGGAGATGCCTTGTGAGATGGACAGCTGGGGCATGAGGGCCACCGATGCGCTCTCATCGATGTCGTACTTGGCTTTGCCGCTCACCGACACGTCGTCTTCGCTCACCTGAGTGAAGGATCCATCGCAGAGAAGGTAGAGCCCATCTACCGTGCAACAACCAAGGTACATATGCTTACAGATACGTCGGTCCTGAGGGAGAGTTTGTCTTTGGTCCACAGCCATCGAGCAGACACCCCGTGACCCTCGCCGATTCTGACAAAACACGCATTCAGGAATGTGCCACACAGGTCCCGTCCTTGTGCAGTGTTGAGGCGTCTGCGTACTTCCACGAGAGGATGCCGTCTAGTCCTTCGCCCATCGACTGGGCCATCGCCAGGGTGGTCGACAGCTGACCTCTCCGGTTCACACTCACCTGCATTCGCAAATTAGCACCAGACTACTGCCAATTGCTCGGTTGTTGGTGCGATTGTGTGAGCGCCTGCCTTCTGCGACAGAGTGAGGTTGTCATCAAGTTTGCGCGACAAAGATGCGTCTATCGTCTGAATCAAGGACGTACCCTGGACACAACCGGGCATGCACGCACACATAAACGAACGAACAGATTGGCCTTTCAAGTGCTTGCTGTCCGTCTGGTACCGAAGTGGCCAACGACACCCTCAAGTCCATGTCACTGCCGAGCGGCACCGACCACAAGCCACTGAAACGAGCCACACCTGCACGAAGCCAGCAACGACCACGCCCACGTGTGATCCATCTTGGGTGATTGCATCTTGTGTGTGGATGCGTCCCTCCTCGTGGACGTGTATGCATACCAGCAGTGGTGCTCTGTATGTGTGCCGCACATGCAAGCACCAGGGTGTGCGCACCCAAGTTAAACTGAACACTCTGACCCACTGAGCCGACCACACAGAGACTCATACACCCCTGTGCCCATTCACTGTCTTTTTGGTTTCCCTCTCTCACTTGCAGCAAATTGCAGCTTCCACTTCCGCCTGAAGAGGAAGTTGGCTGTTGGGTCAAAGAGTTCCGTCAGCGTGGCGAGGGTAAAGTGCCCCGCAAGGTTCATCAGCCGCAGCGCAGATAGCTCCTCGTGTTTGCGCATCAGACGGTTGACCCGCTTCTCGAACTCGTGCATCGGATTGGACGCACGCACCAGCGACGACGAGTCACGACGCGCATAGGCAGCCGACCACTCGTCGATCTCGGCATCGGGCACTTGTTGCGTGTCGAGAAGGGGTGAGGACGTGTCGTGGTGATGCTCGTCATGCTCGCCTCCCTCCTCGTGCAGCTGCTCCTCCTCTTCTGCCCGCAGCTCGTCTTTGGCCTCCTCCACCAGCTTGACGCCAACTGCACCATACCGATCTGACCAACCACAAGTACGCACAGGGACACGTGTGGGCGCAGCAATGTGTGAGTCAGCTCAAGAAGGCCGTCCGCACCATAGAACTGCCTGAGTAGCGGGTCGCTGAGGACTCTGTAGGCCCTGTTGAGCTTGAGGAAGGCGGATGAGGTCTTGCTGCCCCGCCTGTCGTCCTGGTCCTGCACAGTGTCCTGCACAGTCAGGTACCCACTGGCGCTGTACTGCAGCTGTTGCACGGCTGGGGTGGTCCCCACGGAGTCGCTGCTGGACGAGGCCGACTGGAGGAGGGCCTTGTCGGGGTGGTACACGCGGCTGAGCTCGCGGTACTCACGCTTGATCTCGTCCTGCGAAGCCTGCATTTACCGTAGATGACATGGTTGGGGAGAGGAGCCACGCACACAAAGAGAGGTCATAAGCGAATGGGGTGGGTCACTTCGATTGTTGCTGTCTGGCCACGTACGCTTCTGGGGACCCGCAGGATGTCATAGTAATCAAAGTCATCTCCCGTGTCGTATCTGTCCATCCACTCGCCTCTCGACTCGCCACCACTCGAACGCCGACGACGGCTGTCAGCCATGATGAACACCTAGATCTGGCAGTCGAGGCCACGGGCAATTCAGATCTCAGTTCGGATCGGGAAGGTGGCGCCAAGCGGTGGAGCCGCCCCTCTCTGTGTCGGATTTGAGCTCGCAGGGGCGATCGCTCTTCGTTCGTTCGTCCGACAGAGCAAGTAGCGCCGTAGCTTGCGCAGTTGGTCGCCTAACGTCCCAAGCAACGACGGATCTGTGAGTGCATTTCATTTCCCGCACACCAAGATGGATTTATGGCGTTCCGCTTGTCACGTGCATGTCAGGCCGCCTGCCCAGTCAAGTCTGAGATTTGCAGGTGATCGATGGGTTCGCCGTCTGCTCGTTCGGTTCTCATGAGGAGCGACGACCCCGCGCTGAGCCGTGATGAGGACACAACCGACGACACGAGATGCAGGTCGCTCTCTGTTGATGAGATTCGCCGAGCACCCACCTCACTGTCGTTGTTCATTTTGTATTTTGTGGCCAGCTGGAGATGCTGCTGGCGAGAAACGCTCTGATATGCGAGGTGACTCTTAGCTGCTGATACCGTCGCTCGTCAGCACCACAGTGTGTGTGTGTGTGGTCTGTTGCGTATGCCAGATACATCTGCGGGGTGCTGGCCGTAGCGACGGTTGCTGTGGTCTTGGTGGTCGTGATCACGCAGTTCCTGTTGTAGATACCATTTCTCTGTCGTGCTGCGCACGAGTGAAGGGGAGCCGACAAAGCGAAGGGACCGGCTCTCTGGATAAATGTGGAGCAGCGAACGGGGAGGGGGGGTGATTGGGGGGAGGGAGGGGCGGGGGAGATGCCTCTGGCAAAGCCGGCGAATGTATATAGAGAAGCAGTGTCTGACGAAGATGAGGAGCTAGTCCGACCTGTCCCTTGTGTACACTGTCTCTTGTGACACTGTGTCAATGACTTCAGTCGACGGCCAGTAGGAATAAACACCATACCAAAAGAAACAAAAAATGCCGGGGCCTGAATGCAGTTCATTGAATACTCTTCTCTCGTCACTCACGCACATTTCTCTCTTTTTCTCTCTCTCTATCGCTCTCTGTGTGTCTGTGTGCCCAAACCTCCGCCACCACCCATGAATCACTCGGGTTGTCATGAAAGACGTGGTCACACTGTCATGGTCACTTTGTCATGAAAGACGTGTCTTCTGTCTGAATTAATCCACGGTGCCTGAGGCAGAGGGAGTGGGCTAGGGAGGAGAGCTGCGGAGGCCATGCAGCCTGGTTCAGCCGGACGAGGGCAGGAGGTAGGGGGAAAGGACAAAGCCCACTGGCCGACTGGTCCTAGTTTGAGTGACTGAGTTGTTGAATGACTTTTCGTAAGCTGTGTCTCTCTCACTTGCTTTGGAGACAACGCGTGCACGGGGCTCAAGGGAGATGACAGTGCATACGTCTTGAGCCCCGTGCACGTATGCGCGTTCTGTCCACTAAAGTAATTCAGGTACCATGCACCCTCTCTCCCTGTGTGTTGTCCTCAAGCATTGACTTTTGTTGGTGCTCAGACAGGGCTGTATCCGCCTCCTGAGAAGGCGGGCGATCCGGCAGTGGTGCTCATCACTTGGGCGTCTGCACAATAGGGTCACACACAAGACACCGACACTGCTACTCCTAATTGGCTTTATGTCTGTCTCTCGCTTACCGGGTGCCTTCAATTCGTCGCCGAGGAGCCCCTTGCCGGCCCCGTCTCCCTTCGGCGACAGCATCTCCTCGCCTTCACTGTAGGGTACGAACTCGAACAGGACATTCATCTCGCCGGCTGTCTCCTGCCTGATGAAGCCCTGCATGCAAACACGGATAGGAGATGCATCCACCAGAGGTGAAAGCACTTGGACAAGGGGTGCGGCTGTCACCTTGGACTGGATGGGACGCCAGCCGCTCCATGCGTTGTTGGCGGCAAGTCGAAGGATCTCGCTGCTGTTGAACAGGACCCGGCCAACCTGAGAGACACTTGACATATGGGTGGCGACTTCTGCCTCTGAATGTTTCTCTGTCGACCTCGTCGTGGAACGCCTGACACAGACACAGATGGTGAGATGGATACACGAACAGGTAAGATGCTTAGCAGCTTACCACATCCTGATCCTGTGAGCGTGAGAGGATAACACACACCGCAGTCTCCTGCTGCCCTCTCTCATGGCTGGTGCAGGTGCACTTACCATCAGAATGATCTGATCAACACACGAAGTCGACAAAGTCACAATCATCCATCAGCAGCCCTGTCTTTCATCCTTCCCACCCTGCGTCGCTTACGTGCATTTCCTGGTCGCAAGAGCAGTAGGCACGGCAGTCCTCGTCGCCGCAGCTGTCCTCATCAAGCATAAGTCCAACTTCGGATCCATTTTTCGGTGCGCGTCTATACCTCTGGGCGCAATTGCACCACTTGGTACACGGTCCACAGCAGGGGTTCTTGACGTTGACCTCGCTTTTCAGGACATACACGGACATACGGGAGACGCTCAGTCAGACAGGAGACGCAGCTACGTGTTTGTCTCCGTGTGCACATCTCACAGCTGCTCGGTGAAGATGCATACGTGTCTTTTCTTCTCTCGCACTGCGCGTGTCATGCACAAAGGCGATGGCTATGCGGTTGCCCCTCAGGCGTGCATCTTGCCCACCTCGTGTGCTAAGCTCTGCGTTCGTTCCCAGGCTGACCTTGAGAAACAGATCGCTCGTCCCCATCCAGTCCTGAACGACGGGTGCACACATAATCGTCTACGGCATTCGCGCAGTCTCACGTCGCCGGCTTACGTGAGCAGGGAAGTTTCGGCACTCCACCCTCTTCAGCCGCACGACCCTGCTGGCTCCTGGAACGATCGCAGGGCAGCATCTGCCAGCACACCCTGGAATGGACACAAGAGAGACGGCGAAATTGACTGACGTAAGCATGTACACATACACCTATGACACTGACCGCAACAGAGAAGACACTGGACGAAGTCATAGATGTCGACCCTGAGGCGTGTGTCGCCGGTGAGAAACAAGAGGATACGCTCTCTGAGCTTCCACACTACGAAAAGCGCCCCCGCCTGAAAATCAATCGGCACTTGTCATGGGAAAGGAAACAGCAGCAGTGGGCAGATGGTCCGTACCAAAACCACAAAGATGAGGAGTTTGTCCGCTGTCTTCAAAACACCTGGAATGGTTGTGGACACGGCCGTAATGAAGACGACCGTCATTCCAATTCGAGCCGTACCGAAAAAGTACCCCGCGCGAGCGTGGGAGAAGACGGAGAAGATGGACAAGAAGAACGCGTGGTCCATTGAGCTCTCCGTGTATCCTCCTGTTGCGTGGCTGCCTGATTGGACTCGGTCCGGGACTCAAGCAAGTCTCAAGCTGCAAATTGCACCGCCCCCAAGAGCTCGAGGTGCAGGAGATTCCTATTCCGGATCGGTCTCCTCTGTGTGTGACAAACTCCTGCCGTCGCAGTGACTGATTCCTGTACACAATCAAAATGCGTACACGTTGACCACCGTGAGCGGCTCCATCCTGCTCTTGCTCGCCTTCGTCGATGCAGGTAAAGCGTGTTGTGTTTTTCAGTCGGGCTGAGATGCACAAGCACAGGCGAAGCTTTGGGGGCGGCTGCCGGTCAACCAATCGTCAACCAGTCGTCTCCGGATCCAAGGGGACAGTTGAGACGGAGTCACGACGCCCCCACCCCAGGTCTGCGAGCTCGGTGCTGGATCTCTCCATCACCTAAAAGCTTACCCCTACAACACCTGTGATGGCACCAGGTACTTGCCCAGGTCTGCTCTTTGTCTCTGCTGTCGGGCTGGCGGCAGGCTGCTCTCGCTCGCGATGGGTCCAAATGCCATGCACCTGCCTCGGCTTCTCCCGTTTTCGCTTGTCAGAGACGTTTGTGTGCCTTGCTTGTCAGAGACGCGGTGCGCCAGAGGTCGACTGTGTACTACGTGTGTTTGGAGTGCGTCTGTATATTTTTCTCCTTTTTTTCATATGTATGAGAGACACGTTGCAACACGACGTGTTTGTTGTCTTGGTCTTGGTTGTCTGAGGGCGAAGCACTGCCAGGATTTAACAAGATCATCAACCCGAATAATGAGAAACAGCAGGACACCAGGCATTTCAGCCGCCAATGTAGAGTCTCGAGCCTGTGGTCTCTGAGACACAATGTTCTTCAGTTTGATGAGAGCCACGAGTGATTTGAATGGGAAATGGCTGACATCGACCTCCATAAGAGGGCGCAGACAAATACAAGACGTCGTCAAGCTCCTCACGTCAATCGAGTGTGAGAAAAACTGTGTATGTCAAGCTGGGATTACGCTTTTGTGGAGAAGATGCACATCGTTTGTACTGGCTGAGTAGTATCATTGACAACCAACCCAGCACAACTCATCTAGAACACAAACGTGCACCGCTGACGTGTACACGTCTATCTCGTCTACCTTCGCGCCACTGTACTCATAGACGGCGTCTGTCTGTCTGTCTGTCTGTGGTTCTGGCGTCCTTGTGTGGGCGTGACGCCTGCAGTGGCACCACAGCAAATTTGTTGTCCGATCGACACACATAGCCTTTCGAATGACAAAGGAATTCACCTGTGTCGCGCTGTCCCTAAGCTGACTTATCTGCCGTCTTCATACAGTCCCATTGCTTCTCACGCTCCCCCCGGTCGCCCTGTGCCAGCAGAGCTGAGGCTCGGCAGTGAAGAAATGTGCCCTCTTTGCGAACAACGTGGCCAGAAAATGGTCGACGGGTCGGGGTCTGCGCCCTTTTTTCACCCGGGCTGGCGTGATTCTTTGTATCTCGTCTCGAAAATGGCTCAAAAGTGCCCGCCCCATGTCTCGAGACCGCACAAGAAACGCAACTGGTCCGCCAGGCACAGGGGACGTTTTCTTGGGACATCCCCTTCGAGGGCACGGAAAGTCACTAAATGCTCGCCGTTGCGGGGTTCGCTTGGCCTGATTGGTGATGTATTTAGCTATCTTCGGCGGAGCGTTGGGGTCTAAGCGGCCACGGAACTGCGAAGTTTGTTACAGAAGCCGACACGAAAGACATAACCCTGTGTGAATTTTCTACGGCACCTGGAAGTCGGGGTCGTTATATCTTCTCGGTCCGTGACGTTTCTTGTGCTTCTTATGTCCCCACAAAAAACCTATATGACCACACAAACGTACGAAACGTGAGAGAAGCATCTTGTTTGTTTGTCGTCTGACGCCTCTCTGTCTTTACCGCTACACAAGTGTAACACTTGCCATTGCGCTGGCAAATCATTCACTGTCTTGAAGAGCTCCGCGCGGAACTCTCCCTCTGGATAGGGATAGAGCCCAGTATCATCCTCTATGAAGAGAACCATTCCTCTTGAAAATGCGTCATTCGCTACGGCCAGCTCCAGGGCGAGAGAGAAAGAGCTGCTGAGAGAGAAAGAGAATTTGGCTGCAGCTATATTTGGGTAGACGGTCAGGGGGATGATGGGGATACTGTTGGCGTGCAGCTGAGTGGCCAGTGGCACCAGACGCCGCTCGTAGGAACGCATGTGCCCGCCCAGTGTGACCACATAGGCTTCAAGCTCCTGATCCACTGCAGCAGACGAGTCGTTGGACACTGCTGATGCTGCTGGTGGGATGGCGGCATCCACCTGCTCGTCGCCGTTGAGGTGCAGTCCTGCTGTGATGCTGCTGCTGTGGTTGATGGACTGGTTGATGGTATGGCGTGGCAGCGACAGCAATGGGCCTTGAAATGGCCATGGTGTGTTGGCTGAGAGGGATGCGGACAGAAAGAGAGCGGCCGCTGCCAGGACCGCGAAGGTCTTCCAGTTACATGCCGCTTCGCTGCCGATGTAGCCAGCTATAGGCGCCGCTGGTTCCCCAGCCATTGGAACCCCTCAGTAACTCTGGCCGAGTGGTAAATTTGAAGTCTGCAAACGAAATGTGATCTGTCTGTCTGTCTGTCTGTGGTACCTTCCTCAGCACGTCCACACAGATGCAATCGATCAACGCAGCCACCACCCACCCGCTGCTCGCAGCTGCATGTATCTCTCTCTACACGCAAATCAGGGAGGGACACACAGCGCGGCGCACAGACAGAAAGACCAACGCACACAGACACACAGAGAGACACACACACACACAGCCCAGCCCAGTTAGTGACGTGAAGAAACCAAAACCAACAGCCCGTATTTCCACAGTCACATCACCTTCATGACGGTCTGACTTAGTAGGGATGGTAAAGAAATCTTACTCGTAAAGAATTTTTAAACCATCGGTTTTACCGAATTACTAAAACTGGGACTCTGAGGAAACAACGAATTGATTTTACCTCAGGGTGAATACCGGTACTCGGGCAACTCGAATTTGCATGTCGTCTTCCGGGAGTTGCACCAGAGGCCCTTCCGGCCGTTGCCCTGGGGCTTCATGTTGCCTGCCAAAGCGCCGACGAGGATAGACGGCAACAGGGACGACCTTGATGGCATTCCTTTCCAGCTGACCGGCGAGAGGCATCAGCCTCAGCTCATACGACGGCGTGTGGCCGCCCAGAGTCACGACATAGGCCTCCAGGTGATGGCCTTCCTTCCACGCCTCCGCTGACAGCGTTGCCAGTGGGAAGAGCCCCGAAACAGCAAGGCCAGCCGGCGATGGTTTGGGAGCTTCATTGAAATCTGAAGGTCATATTTACAAGTAAGGCGCCCAGCAAGCTGAGCGCGGTGCACGACCCCCAAAGTGATTGAGGTGATTGCGCGTTTGACGGAGAATGCGGATGTGTCCAACAACACGTCGATCACACCATTCATGCGATGAGTAAAAGAACACATGTGCTCACTCAGCATTGCATGCATGTCCTTCTCCCTTTCGTAGCTGTGTGTCATGAGAGATAGGTACACGTATAGGTACGAACACGAAGAGACAGAGAATACCTCGCAGGTAAGGAGAAGACGCACACCACAAATCATGAGGGACGGCAGGTATTGTGCAGTGGGGATGAAATACACGAATCATGAACCATGCAGCGGATCAAGAAACATATACAGATAGCTTCTCTCAACGAAAAATGACCGATGAGAAGAGCGTGGCTTCTTGATCTCGAGCCTATTGGCATGAAAGCCGATTGGTCCACGCTTTTGAGGTGCTTGTCCAGAGCCTTGACGACAGCAGCCCATCGTTGGACGGTGTCCTTGTCGTCTGTGTCATGTGTCAATGGCACCGCCGAACTCTGCAAACACAGACGAGACAGGCGTCGTTGTGTGGGAGATGTGTCGTGTCGTGTGTGTGTGTGTGTGTGGTGTATACACGTGGTACCTCACCTGATGTCGATTCGCGCTGGCGACCCTGGCGGCCGTCGCTGTCGGGCACTTCTGGGTGAGTGTCTGCCAAGGAACACACTCACGTACACGCACATGACTGCTGAGTGAAGACGTTGCTTTGTCCTCTTACCAGGGCATTCCTATTCGGCATTGCTGAGTGCTTGGAGGCCGAATCTGTCGCTGCATCCTTTCGAGGCAGGCCCCGTTGCCTTCTGCATTGTACGGCGACGGGTTTTTGCTCAGAGCATCAGCAGCGGGGTGCATCATTGGGCACATACGATTGCCTGATAGACACAGAGTCACAGGGATAGGAACAGATGACCAGATTATGTGAACTGGGGAGTGAGGTGTGTCCGTACGAGTACCTGTGGATGTCGGCGAGTAGCAATTGTGTGTTCTCGTCGTCGGGCCACGCTGGTGAGAAGACCGGTGACGAAGGGCGAGCGTGGGAAGACGAGGAAGGAGGAGAGAGAGAAAAGGAGCAGCCGCTGACGGCTGAAGAAGACGACTCAATCGGGTGCTGAGCTTTTTTATGACTGCTGAGCTTTATCGTGGCGACATTGGCAACCACGGAAGGACCGATCGGGCGGAAAAAAAGTAGCCTAGAGCACTCCCCCAGCTGGTGCTTTTTGGGGTCGTGAACTTTGTCGTTTCGGTCCTTCATGTAAAGCCTCGTTGTTCAAGTGCGTGTTGCGGGCTCAGAGCGTCTGTCTTTGCGTTGTCTGCGCACAGCAAATTACCCTGCCTACCTACCTCATCTTGAGACAGATGACGCGTCTTGGGGGCAAGATCCATTCACTAATGGCGTCTTCTTCCTGTGTGATTTCCTAGCAGTAGGTAGACAATACATGCTGCGACATTATTACTGTGTTTGCAGCCATCCCATGTCTGTCCTCTGTCGCGGGTGCGTGATTGCAGTCTACTTCTACTACTACATCACGTACAAGCAGCGCACGGTGGCCGCCAGGGTCCTGCTCAACTTCTGGCTGGCGGCCGACACCAGTCACACCACCATCACCAGCTTGAGTTTTCTTCTTCTGGCTGGGACGCGGCGGGAGTGCACCAGTAAGCGCACTTCCTACTCACACAGATCACGTAACACATTTGTGTGTCGTCATTCGTGTGCAGGCTGCGCGCGTTCCTGAGAACTGTAGGGAGTGCATTCTCTGGCAGGGAGTGGGTACAGTTCCACCCACCACTACACCCACCCCCCCTCCGCAGAGGCCAAACCCCGATCAAGACCCTGATGTGCAGAGACGGCCGGAGGAGGCGGACATAGCTGTGCAGGAGGTGGACGTGGGATAGAGCGCGCGTAGCAGAGCTGATGCAAAGGATACGCGGGGGAGAGAGCGCGTGAGTAGAGGTGATATGAAATAGAGATATTGTCAACCTCTAGTTGTCTCATCATGTAGATTGACATCTCGGTTTGAAAAGATAATACAAAGACCACAAGGTTCTCCTCACGACCGCCGCTGTCGACGGGTCCCCTGTAGAGCAATTGCAGTGCAAGAAAAGGATAAAACGCCAAGGGAGGCGGGCAAGGGAGGTGGGCAAAGAAAGCATCGGTTCCTCAGGCAATGATGTCTCTGACATTCATCCCCCTCTGGTTGGTCGCCGTTCCCTACTCGATCGGCCTGGCTCTGCGTTTTGCCTGCATAGAGTCGGCAGCCGTCTCGAGCACACAGGGTCTCACAAAAGAATCCATTCAGCTGTGCTTTCAACCCCTCAGAGAGGTTTCGCAGGTTGTTGGTCATGACAAGACCTCCGAGAACGTAGACGCGGGTTTGTTGTACAAAGCGAGTCTCATGCTGATAATGCGCCCCGTGAATGTGCTACCTGCGGAGCCACACACACACACACACACACACACAGGCAGACAAACAGACTCACTGTAGGGACAAGGACCGCAGATTACCGCTCGTTCCTATGAAAAAGTCGCTCATGGCCCCTGCTTGCTGTTCCACGGCCAGCTTTGATAACGCATCTCTACACTGGTCCACCAAGCGTGACGAACAACCTTGTGTTGACTTAGGGAATCGTCGCCGAATTTTGTTCCTCTCGCTGCGATTTGCATCGGTGATAATCAGCAATCTCCTGATTCGGACGCCGGTTTCACCTTGGAGGGCCGCATCGATCTGTCCCAAGTGGTTGTCCAATTTTGCCCCCTTCTCATACTTTGTCCAATCAGCTCTTCGAATGTGCGCCACCAGGATAGGTGACGCCGGATCGTTGTTTGGCTTCACATGCGACAAGAGGGCCATGGCTGCCTTCTTGACCCATTGCCTGTACGGCAGCAGGACACCATAATTATGTCTCAGATTGAAAGCAGTCGATCCGTCCACAACCAAGCACTCTTCGTTTGGGTATTCCTTGTGGATTGCTTTCTCGCTGTCAATAAAGCTTGACAAAGCCACGGTGAATCGCTTCGGCCTTTTTCGATGACTTAAAGGGAGGGTCACATTCGTCGACAGGCCGTCCTTCTTTCCTACTCTCTCGGCACAGCTGCGGCAGAATGCTCCAGCATGGAAGACGGGCCGAATTAGACAATCTGGATGCCAGTATGCAGGGTCTCGATACATCGCAGGGAACTTCCGCGATCTGCCGTTAAGGAAGCTCCGCAGAAGGGGATCCTTGGCTGCATGATCTTCAAATGGACAATGCTTGCCTTCCGGGTGAAGGTAGACGTTCATGTAGTTTAGATCAAGAACCTACATAACACTCAAAATGCGCCATGGCCTGCTCATCAAGAGAGTGAAGAGGCTGAACATATACCTGTAGCCAGTTAAGAGTGGATCTAGATTCGTCTTTGGTTTTTGTAACCCAAAAAGAGGGAATGAGCAGCACCCGTCTCATTCTTTTTGCAGCCACCAGCATATTCTGGGTCTGAATTACATTGTTGGTAGCTCTTCCTACACACACACACACACACACATATTCATTCATTCATACATGAATGGTGTCAGAGAACATACAGAGACAGAACGTGATAAATCGGAAAGGGAGACGTACCGTATCTCTCGAATGTGATCGCGCCTTTAAGGGTGACATTACGCCACAGGGGATGCGTTGACAGCGGCGGTCGTCGTGGGAGCCTTGTGGTCCTTGTCGTCGACGGATGCCGAATAAGCGCGAGCTTATGCAGTTCCGTTATCCATTCTGGCAAAGCGACTCCTCGTACCAGGGACCACAACACAAATGAACCGATGACGGTGGCAGTAATCAACGACGCTGTCAGTGCAAAGTCAATTTTCATTGGGTTGGGCTGGCCGGTTACTCAAGTATTTGTCACTGAAGTGATTCATGGAGGCACTTTCGAAGACTTGTTGTTGACTGATTGGCTTTTTGCTACTACTGCAATCGAAAAGACCAGTGCAAAGTGGTGCAGTCTTTGTGAGTTTCACGCGGTAAGGAGTGTTTTGTGTTAGAGATTAATACGCCATGGTGTTGCGGATGCTTGAGGATGTGCCGATTGAGCAACAGTCGTGTTTCGTCAGGGTGAATACCGGTACTCATCCAACTCGAAGTCGCAGGTCCTTTTGTCCCTGTTCCTGGAATTGCACCAGAGGCCCGTCCGGCCGTTGCCCCGGGGCATCATCCTGCCCGCCCGATCGCCATTATCGCGGATAGTGCACACCGGGCAGGGCATGTTACTCACCACGCGGCTGAACAGATACACAAAGACACAGAATGATTTCTTGTACGCCATGATGGTCACCATTCACATCCAACCTACCGGGCGGTGCTGAATCGCCACACGCGTAAGTTCCGCTTCCTGTCGGCCACCGAGAAGGGCGTCACGGAGGCCATTCAGGGGGCCGTCGCTTGGAGGGACGACATTCGGAGGCGCATAGGCTGGACCGATGCGGACATGTCAGATTACGTATTCGCCAGCCTGGAGGAGGACGAGAAGGTGAAGGACGCGGTGAATGGGCGGCTGAACCTGTTGTCCCCCAGAGACGAGTTGGACTGCCCCAAGGATGAGCTCGGCTGGCCGGACAGGAAGCACTTGTATGCTGCCCATAACACCACGCCTTTCAGGGTCCACATTGTGTGCAGGCTCAAGCACGGTGGGGTCTACAAATTCTTCAAGAAATCCCCGGTGTTATCTGCTGACAGAGAGGATATAGATAGGGCCATTGAGATGGCAGTTGAGTATAGGGAGTGGGCGCGGGAGAAGGTGCGTTCATTGAAGCTCGAGGCCGAGGCGGCCAAGGCCAAGGACAGGGCGGATGAGGAGGGTGTGGCCAGCCGCACGAGGGCAGGGAAGAAGAGGAAAAGGGAGCAGGAGGTGCCCACAGAGGACGATTAGTTGTTGACTGATTGACTGATGTTAAATGGAAATTTCAGACAAAATGGAAGTAGGCGTTAGAAGTGGCAAGAAGCATCTCCCTGATCCGGAAGATGCTTCTTGCTCCGAGTGGGTGCAACACGTCTACGAATGTTCCCCTGATCTCACCTCAGACTCCTCCCTCAGATCTGCACTGTTTTCAAATCTACAGAATTTTTGATTTTGCTCCTTGCTTTTTTGAGGGGTTTGGGACGACTGAAAAAGGAGATGGGGGGTTGTGTGAAAGCGAAGCCCTCCTCTTTTTCGCCCGGAAAATGGCTTTTTTTTTGTGCCGAAAAACACGATCGGGGAAAAATCCAGAAAAATAAATGATTGATTGGTTGATTGATTGATTGGTTCATGTACGTATTCACACACATGTATCATCCCAGACTGTCTCTCTGTGAATTGATGTGGTGTCTCTGCCGACACTGTCTGGCTGTTTGTCTGGATGAATTACGTATGCATGTCTCTCTTTGATGTTTCTAATCTTGTCCGTTTTCTGTGTGCGCGCGTGCGTGCATGTGTGTGTGCGTGCTCTGCAACCCAGCCCACTAATCTGACGACGGCCAGACAGGATGCACGGCTGAGGGCGGATGCCCGGCTCACCAATGTTTTCTCTGTCTACCCCTTGATTTCGGCAAAGGCCAGATCTGTGCGAGTCTGCGTGTCGTAACGTGTCACCCCGATGGCGCAGGGCCGCCCGGCTTGTATACTTCCCCTGCCACAAACCCAAGTAATCATGATGTTGGCTCTCACGCAAATAGCTCTAAATCTGACGGTTGTAAAAATTGGGAAGACATGCAATGTATGTAGAAGAATTGCTTCCATTCAACCCGAACTGCAAGGGACCGACGGCAATCGCTGGAAATGTGTCATCTTCTCTTCCTCTCACCGAACACGTGCAGGTCTTTGCGGTCATAGGTTCAAGAATCTGGCCATCCAACTCCGCCGGCAGGAAAACAAAAGTAATGGCTACTGGACACTTCGTCTCCCTCTCTCCGCCGAATCTCCTACCATTGTCTCTTGTTCGGCCCACCAGCTGTGTTGTGATCTGACCTGACAACAGCTTCCCCGCGATCAGCGAGGCGGGCGTCTCCCTCCGTGGAACGCTCCTGTTCCCTGATCTGGCTTTTCGTCCTCGCTGATATGGCCATTCCCACCAACGCAAGCGCGTCGAGCACACAGCAACAGGACGTCGACATGACGGGCGACACGAACATGTCACACCCGCTCGACGGTAACGAGGGGTTGGCTCGATGGTGGAAGTCGGTGACGAAAGGAGCGACGAGACAAGCGAAGAAGAGAGCCAAGAAGACGGCTTTGAGCACGAGGGCAGGGAAGAAGAGGAAGTCAGAAGAGTGTCCATTGTAAAAATGCGCAAAACTCAAGGAATGGTAATTGTACTAAAGATTCGTAAATGTGCCGACGTGGTAAACTTCCTTTCCCGGACAACCCAGATTTACTCATGGCGAGGAAATTGAAATGAGCGGGGCAAGGTCGGTGGGCGCGGCAGCCACGGGAGCGGTCTGGCTGCTGGTGCTCTACTTTGTTTATTGGTCTCTCAGCGGCCGCAAATCAGCTCTCTCCATGTCACGGAGGCGTGACAGGCGATTGGACACTCATGTCAATGGGACGGTGGTGAACTCAAGTCAGCAGCTCGGATCTCCTCCGTCAGCGGTCATTTTGAGCGCGCTGAGTGCCCAAACAAAGATCAAGAATTACCGAGACAATCGGGTCGTTTTCGTCAATCTTTGCCCTGCTGGAATTGGCGGGAGGCCGAAGAGCCGAAAGCACGGTCCGTCATCAGTGGGAAATATATGCGAGCCGTGGTGGACTCGCGATGCTGTGATGTTTATGCAATTTATCCTTCGCACCGATATGACTGCACTCGAATGGTACACCTACTGTCTGTCTCAATTTGGATTCTATACACTTACTTCACGTTCAGGGGCAGTGGCTCGAGGACTCTTTTTCTTCTCTTGCATGTCTCCTCCTTGACAACCATCGAAGACAGCGAGAGGTATGCTCCAGCACGCATACGACAGGTGCCGCCATCCCTCTCCTCCCCTCTCTCTCTACCTCTGTGTGTCTTTGCAGCTGGGTTACGCATACAGAGCAGACCATCAGGAAACACTACCCGCGGCTCCAGAGAAAATGGACTTTTCGCCACCGCCATATGGACGACCCGAAATATGTAGAAGTGCTTGACACCGCTTCAACAGACAGGACCTTCGACGTCATATCCGTAGACGGAAGACACCGGGGAAAGTGCATCGAGTATGTGCTGAAAAAAGGCTTGCTGAGCATCGGGGGAATCCTCGTTGTCGATAATGCGGAGCGCGAACCGTATCAGGATGCGATCAAGAGGATACCCCTATGGCCGCGATTCGTATTTCAATCGCCAGCCGGTTTGACCTCAATCTGGATAAGAAGCTCTTCTACTGAGTGAGGGTGCTGGCTACAGGTAATCGTCACAGTCCTATAACTACCCATGTCGGAGATGTCAGCATCGAAGTGTCGGTTTGGACTGAATCACTTAACGCAACCCAACGTGGAGCCGCTCTTTTCCTCTGAACGCAACGTGAGGGAGAAACAGAGGGAAAGAGCGGGGACAGAAAGGAAGGCCAACACGTCTATGTAATTGCTTTGTCAATGGTGGTTGAAAGTGTTCGGGTAGCATTTATCATGCCCTTCTCATTAGTCACTGGATCGGTTCGCCATCGGTGCCAAGTACGACCGGCGGGTCAGGAAAAACGAACCATTCGTCTTGCCACTTAGGCAGAGGAAGCGCATCCATCTTTCTGGACGAGAAGTGCTCTCCTGGCTCGTGGTGGTGCGCAGCAAGAGTCATGTAGTCCGGCGCATTACCGTAGACACAGTAGAGGCCATGAATGTGATTGAAGTAATCGAGAGCAGATTCTGTTGAGCCCCACGAAGAGGATGATGTCAAAATCGAGGTATTGCGTTGAGAGAGGGAAAGAAGGTAGTGCGTAGCGATGATGTGAGGCACCAGCGGTGCAGAGCGACCGTCTACCCGAAGCGAAGCGTACCATCGAACGAATCGCTGCCACGCCACTGGCAACGCGCTGTATCCGATGGTCCCAACAAGCGGATAAAGAAAGACACCTTGATGCACACTCACGTGCTTCCCATGATAGCGTCGCTGGTCGCCTCGAAAGATTGCCCGTTGCAGAGTGAATCCACTCACATCTTCCCTCGTCCCGTACGCTGCGTGGGCCTTGAGGAGCCACTTAAAAAAGAACGGAGACACTTCGATGTCGTCCTCCAGGATGAGAAGGACAGTGCCATTGTCTTGCTTCAGTCTGTCTTCGGGAATTGCATGGATCCACTGCTCAGCCAATCCATAGTGCCTCTCCCTCAACCGCACTGTGAGCTTGCCGTGCGGCCACTCATAAGACTTGGCCGCCCGAAGCGTCTCGCTGTGGACGAGCCCGTCACGATTCAAGTCAACCGAGATAAGCAGGTCCACACGATGACCGAGATAGTGTGACCTAGAGAGGGATTCTAGCAGCCTCACGAGGGAATGGGGGCGGTTGTACGTCAGCACCGAAATGAAGAGGCCTCGTCTCGGAATCACCTCACTCGAGTGGTTGGCACGCTTGGGAGACATGGCTGAGCGCACGGCAGGGGACCAGGGGAAATGGAAGCACTATAGGGTTTTCTGTCCCACTTACCCTGTTGTCTCCTGGTCTTGCGTTCCCTGTCTTCCCTCTCGAGCGACTGTGATGACACAAGCTCAAGCAGCTCAAGGACTCGCCAACGCTTGCTGATGAGCTGTTCGATCCTCAAATGATTCCACAGGGCACCTATATGTCCAAATGTTCCATACTTATACGTCTGCAGTATGTCGGGCAAATCAAGCATCGGGCTGACAAATGCTGCTGTCAAAAGCCACAAAGTCAAAGCGGCCATGAAGCCTAAAGGACATGAGCTCATGTCACCTGAAAATCACGGCAAGAACGTCCAAGTGTCACTCAGGACTCGACTATATGACCTAAGGTCTTAGAGGAGGACGCCATCGATAGATGAAATCCCATCTTGATGATCTGCACATGGCTCGCCACGGCAATAGTGATGCCCTCACGTCGAGCCATTGCGATGAGAGATTCTAAACCCTCGATTAGAACATCCCACGGATATGACCAGGCGCCATTCGACTCACATATCGCATCGCTCTCAAGGCCAGCCGCATCAACCACGGAGCGGAAATGCACCAGTATGCTGAAAATCGGCCATTCGGATGTCAGCAGCGCTTCCAAAGGCAGACCGGAGCGCATCAGATCAATGGCCCGCAGGACTCGACGGGCGCTGTCACCGTTGTCTGGCTCTGCCAAGGCGTGCAGGGCGTGCAGCAGGAACGACGCAAACGTGCCTATCGCCAGTGGGGAAGATGCGTTGCCGGATGTCAGCCATCTGACCGCCTCTTCGGCGCCCGTTGTGGTCTTGCCAAGGGCTGACGCGAGCAGCTCGGAAGAGCTGTGATTTCCACGAGTGTAGAACGGCGGGTACAGCTGACGGAGTTCGTCCCGCGGACTGAAATGGCTGTCCAGCGCGGAGAGGAAAGGAAGGAAAACAGTGAGGATACAGAAGAATAATCCTACACGCTCCATATTCGCTCGCGTTGACTTAACCGCCACCACAACTTTTGCGACCGACCCTAGCCACACTCGTTCGCGCTGCAACAGGACCCAATCATGCCTTGCAACTGGCACTAGCGATGAGTTCCCAGCTCCTCAAACCGTCTCGCGCAAGGTCTCCGCGTCGCGGGGAGCATTCGGAAGCCACGAAAACGACTCATCAGGGTACACCGCGCACTTTTGTCCGTCGTAAATTCCACAAGCTCCTGAGGCGAGTGGAATGAGATGCATGTCGAAAACAAAGAGAGAAGGTTTTTTCTTTTCTTCGGGGATGGGGACAGCGTTTACTTTTCTCGTCGTCGGATCAGGCTGCTCTTCTCTCGTCTCAAGCCGATTCCTTTCAAGCCTTCACACCATCTTTCCTCGCACATTCTTTCTCTGCACTTACGAACATGAAAAACACAACACCACTTTGGACGGTGACATATACAGAAAGATGGCGCTGGGAAATGCCATGAGGGAAAGCACACAGATACTGCGGTCGCGAAGTCCAGAGAAAAACTCGAACAGACAGACAAGAGAGAGGAAACTCGCTGCCCTTCTTTGTATGTACGTCCTGGCCCAAGCACATCGGGGCGCTCTTTATGGCATGCTTCTTTTATCTGCGGAGTTGGATGCGCTGTTCCAGGAAGTAGGCGATAAGGGGGTCTTCAGGTCACTGTTCCAGGAAGTAGGCGTTATAGGGCTCTTCAGGTGATAGGCATGCACCATCGCGCCATTCTTTGGCTGGCTGGCTGGCTGTTGTCTGTCTCACCTGATAGGACATCGTGGCCCATCTTCAGGTCTTTAAGCAGCAAAACACAGCTCAAATATTTCTTGTCTTTTTGCAGGATGCTTTGTGCGCTTCGCACACGTGTGCGAAATGCTGACCTCGGGTTGCACGTCGACGATTGTTTGTCGGCCAGTGCAGTGATTGCATCCTTACATCGCGCAGTTTCTGAACTGCTTGTCGATCTCCAAAAGGCGAAGGAGGAGGACCGAACTTCAGCAACGATGAGTGCGTGGGCCCCTGTTACGTATGTGAGGGCCCTCAATGCCTCCTTGGCTGTCACAGAGGGTGAGTGAGTGCAGGCCCTCTTCTGTGTGTAAGGAAAATGGAGCTATCTTCTGGTATCAGATGGCGCTGGCTATCTTGAGCGCTGCCCTTCGGCCTTTGTGACTGCACTATTGATCCAACGTGCAGACGGTTTTACACCCGATGACGAGCTGATAGCTTTCATAGGGCGGCTGCGGCTGAGAGACCTGCTCCTGACGGGTACACGTGTAATACGAATGTATGTGGATGAGACACGTCATACGAATGCATGCTTGACATGCTTGGCAGATTGGGACATTTTGGGCTTACTTGCGGTCCTTTACGAGCAGTCCCAAATCACAGAACAGAAGAAAAGGTGAAACGGGCACGCAGACGTGGGTCTGAAGTTGTCGTTGCCATTGCAGGGCCAATCTATTGCCGCACCAAGGTGACAAACACGAGGGCCTCGCACATCAGATGGCCGCTCCATCCAACTCAGACGCGCAAGGAGACTCGTCAGGTCATTCGTCCTATCCGCCTGTGTTGATACTCCACCGTACGGCGCCACGATTCTATAGCACTCGCGTGCCCCTCATTCGGTCCACCTATGCGGCAGTCGCCCACAACAGGACCGACCAGCTGATTCTATTCGTCGGACAGGGCCACGGTGACGGGCATGATGACATGATCGTGATAGAGGAGTGCACCACAAGTGAGTAGAAGGAAAGGCGCCTTCTCTTCTGCGCCGCCCGCTCGCAACCATGGCTTGTTGGCTTGCTGCCTATATGTCAACAGTTTCTGACCTGTTCGCGAGAATTCCTCGTGTGAACAACACTGCAGAACAAGTGAGCAGCTTCACGTCTCAAGTTTGTGTGACGGCCGGGAGCATCGAAGTGGCTGCCAACCTCATCAGCCAGACCAATGGCTATTTCGGCTGGGTGCTGTTCTGTGATGACGACGCATATGTGCTGCCCGACAACGTGCAGCGGTTCCTTGCCGACCACGACCCCTCGATCCCGACGCTGTTTGCCATCTTCGCGTGTGGGACGGGCAACTGCGACTATGGCGTGTGCGGTGGCGGCGGGTGGATCATGAGCTCATCTCTCGTCCGTCTCATGGTGGAGGGATTTAACAAGACCACCTACCGCAGCTTTCGGCAGGAGTTCATGCACCTTTCAAACGAGGATTGCCGCATGACAGACGACGTTACGGTGTCTCAGATGGCCCGTAGAATGAACATTCCTTCTCTGAAGATGGTGCCGCTGGAAGGCGTCTATCCATGGTAATGTGCATGAGCCTACACAAACGTGCAGTGTCTCCGAGACACATGACGCGTTTGTCTGTGCGCATGTCAGGTATCTAAGTGAGGCCACTCTGCGTGAGAGTCTGCAGCCGCACGTGTACGAGTACATGCCTCTTCCTCTGTTGTACCATTACAACGCCAAGGACCGCATGAACGAGCTCCATGAAATGGCCATGCGCTATGGCAGCAACAGGCGCGTACCAGCAGGTTAAGGATGGTAGTGGCTGGCATTCAAAGACCCTTTCACGTCCTTGTTCCATCGTCCTATCGCTGATCGATCAGCTGGAGGGAGAGGTGAGTGTAGACGCCTTTTTTCCGTTCCTGACTGACTGAGTGGCATGCTGCCTGACATTGAAGATTCTGTGTGGCGATTGATGATATTTGTATGGGGATGTCTGGCGGAAACAACTAACGTCTCTGCCCCTCTGTATGGAAATGCGATTGATCGAGCGTCCGGCCTCACCACCAATCGATCGGGGCAGAAGGTCCGCCACACACATACAGACACAGCCCATACAGACACTCTCAGGCAGACGGAAGTCAGTCGGGTGACTTGGGCTCTTCCATGGGTTTCTGGTAGGGGGAATACACGGGGCTATCACGCTGACGGGGAGAGGGAGAACGAGAACGACCGCGGGGACGGTGGGCTCGCCTGCTGCTCGAGAGAACCACACACACATGATGACGTCCATGTGTGTACGCGCGTCTTTCGTGGTGACGCGTGCGGTGCCCACATGTATCTTGCTGGCTCTTGGTCGTCGCCGCCTTCACCTTCACGGCCATCGGCTGGCGGGATGTACACGCCCCCTGCCTTGCTGACCCACGATCCCTTCCTGGTATCCCACATCGGCCCCTCCGTCCTCTCCCGCTCGGGGCTCTCCGAACGCTCAACATACCTACACCCACCCACGTGTGTCATGTCATGTGCACACTCGACACGAGTATCGCTGCATACCTGTCGTGTTCCCAGTATGGGTCGCGCCTCCCGCCACTCGGCGACCGCGATCCGCGCCTCTTCCTCTCGCGCTTCAGCCTACGCGCATTCATAGTGAAGATACACGTGCATACATGTGCTATACAGACGGATCTTTATCTGGATGGGTGCACACTTGCCACTTGCCTGCGATAGGCCTTCCTGTCGTACGCCGCATCGAGCGGGTTGACGGGATCTCGCGGAAGGGGAGACGGCGAAGGGGACCGAGACCGAGACAACGACCGGCGAGATGCCCTTTCCTGCACACATGCACCGGTTCGGGCATGCATGTAAGGGCCACTGTGGTTGTAAGCGCACGAATGCCGTGCACCTTTCGTGGAGGGCTCTTCTCGGCGTGCTGCTCCTGCTTCTTCCTGCACTCACATGTGTAAGTGTACCCTAAGCGCGTATACGTGTCACTGTGTTGGTATGCACTTACATGTGTTGCTGCTGCTGCACGAGGCTCATTGTGGTGGCCTGGTACATTCGGGCCAGGGGGTTGGCGGGCAGGCTCCGCTGCTGAATGCTCTCTGAACAAACAAATGAAAGCACACATGGACCAGTCCATTCTGCGAGCACGTGCTGCACACATACCTACCTGCCCACTTCTCTATCTGCGGTTGGTCCTTCTGGCCTCCCTCCTTCCCGCCTCCGCCATCTTGCGTCGGTGGTGACGCCTTGTCCCTTCGCCGCCGCTTTGGCGACTCACCGCTGCTCGAGGATGACGATGATGGGCTCAGTGACCTGCACACACGTATGCACATCTGTCAGTGAATGGTGACAGTGGAGGGTCTGCTATCTACCTGTGCCGCTTCTTGCGGGAGCGTCTGTCGGGGTCGCTGCCATCGTCATCGTCTCGCCGCTTGGCCTTCTTCCGCTTCTTCCGACGCCTCTTCCCGTCATCCTGGGTGTGACTCACAGACAGCGGTGTGAACATGCTGCACGTATATGCGACGTCCGTGTGCTTACGATTGGTCGCTGCGATGATGCTTTTTCCTTGAGTTTCTCTTTTGCCTCGAGCTCTTGGCGCCACAGTGCAGCCGCCTGACAGGTTGATACGGTAACAGAAGTTTGTCTGTGCAGAAGAGAGAGAGTTTTGTTGTTGTTGTACTTGCTCGGCAGCAGTAAATCCTCCCTTTCGCTGTCGAGGTGCGTCACCTGCATACAAAGGACACGCACGGACACGGTCAGAGTTTGTAGTGCAGGTTCGTATGCAGGTTCGATGTCCTTGTGCAGGTGAATATACCAGCGTCCAAACAGCATCTACTTGTACCTTGCTTCAGCACGAACTTCGACATACGTTCCTGCAATTTCCGAGCTTGAACAGCTTTCGCACAGAAGATGGCCGTGGGATGTTAGGGTTTCAGGGTTAGGGTTCAGGCTGCGGGGTCTGGAGGCTCACAGGGGTAGCAGGCCGCGAGGAAATCACAGATGGCGGAAAGCAGTGGAGAAGGACAGGGTGCAGCTGCACCAGGCTCGTCCAATTCGCCAAAGCTGAAGCTGATTCACGAGGGCAAGGCGCAGGTGGAGGTCAGCGCAGCCAACGAGGTCTTCTATAACCCCGCACAGGTGGTGAGTAACGATCTGACCACAGACACACAGCAGACACTATCACTTCACAATGAATGAATGAATGAGTGAATGAGTCATTGAGTGGACCATGAGTGAGTCAGTCGTCTGTATTTGTCTGCAGGTGAACAGGGATCTGTCTGTGATCTGCATCAAAGCCTACCATCAGCTGAGGTGGAGGCAGCTGCAGGCTAACAAGGCCAACAAAAAGACCAGAGGCACCAAACGGAAAGGCAGGCCCGCACCAACACATACAAACATTAGTCTCACTCTGTCTGCGTTTTGCTTGGACAGCTGTTGGCAGTGATGGGCCCTTGCCAGACCAAGACGGTGCCAGCCCGGCTGTTCCACCTCAAGACGAATCCTCTGCAGCGCCAGTGGACACAGAGCAGCACAATGGCACGGGAGATGCCCACGGCAGCCGCGCACAGCCACCAGCTGCAGCTTTTCGTGGTCTGGTTGACGTGCCCGAGTCGCACCGGCTGACGGTGCTGGAGCCTCTGTCTGCGAGTGGACTGCGGGGCCTCCGTTATCTGCTGGAGCTGCCCCACTGTGTGCGGCACGTCATTGCGAACGACATCGACCCAAAGGCTGCCGATACTATCAGACACAACAGACACATCAACAATATCTCACCAGACCAAATGCACGGTCCGCCTGCCAAGGGAGAGAGGAAGCGGGAAACAGACGGACATTTGGACATACACTCCGTTCGTTTTGCTTTCTGTGTTCAGTTGAGTGTGAGGATGCGTCGGTGCTGATGTACATGTGGAAGAGGCGCGGGCAACAGCAGGGGAAGGGTAACGGTGCCGACAATCTTGATATCATCGACATCGACCCATACGGCTCGGCATCCCCCTTCCTCGATGCCGCCGTGCAGGCCGTCAAGGACGGAGGTCAGATCCCCCACCCACCGCCTCACACACCTCCTTCGCTTTATGGAATCGTGTGCGCAGGCATGTTGTGCGTGACGTCGACCGACATGCCCGTGTTGGCGGGCAATACGCCTGAGGTCACCTTCTCCCGCTATGGCGGCACGGCACTCAAGGCCAGATACGTCCACGAGATGGCACTCAGGTGACTCTCGTCCTGTCGACGACCCATCCGATGGATTGAGAGGATGCCCTTCCTCTCACTCTCTGTGATGACAGGCTGGTGCTGCATGCGATTCGCACGAGTGCTGGGCGGTACAAGCGGTCGGTCGTGCCGCTCGCATCGTTCAGCATCGACTTTTACGTCCGGGTAAGCAGGCGCATATAACCTGGACATTCACGTGTCTCTATATATGTTTGCGTATGCAGGTGTTCGTCCAAATCCGCAACTCATCTGCCGAGACGAAGAACATCTGCAAGGAAACGGGCCTGGTGAGATCAAATCAGCCTGACAATGCGCTGCTGTAAGTCTCTCTCTCTCTCTCTATATCTCTCTCTCCAGGTTTTTCAGTGTGTGCAGTGTGACACCTTTCATGTCGTGCCTCTTGGCGAGACTGTCCCCAGCAAGAATCCGCAGGGCCCCGACCGCTTCAAAGCGCCACACATGCCCACACACATCGGTGAAACCCACGCGAAAGACAGTGCAAGGCGTGCAATGTGCGACTCTCTGCCTGTCGATCGTTCGTGTGCAGGTGGCACGTGTGGCGAGTGTGGCGGCCGGTACACGATTGGAGGGCCGGCGTACATGGGGCCGCTCTACCAAGAGGTAATCATCACAAAAACCAGACGAAGCGAAACCTGATCGCCGGTGAATGCTCCCCTTGGTTTTGAGTGTGAGCAGGAGTTCGTCTCTCTGTGTCTGGAGGTGTGCAAGGCTGCCGATGCCGACGACAGTGACACACTGGATGGCCTGACGCAGACGCCACGCATCAAGGGGATGCTGGGGGCCGTCCAACAGGTGAGCGACGGACTGGTCGACAGCATACACGCACCCATCCGGTGGTTCCCTGTGTTCTGCAGGAGTGGTTTGATTTGCCGCTGTTCTACCATCTGCCTTCCCTCTGTGCGAAGATCAAGCTGCAAGTTATACCCCTGAAGGCATTCAAGTGAGAGACGAAAACTCACACATTGCCCGCCCGCGTCACAAACATGGGCTGGTTGCGACGAGCAGGTCGGCTTTGCTGCATCTCGGGTATCGCGTGTCACATTTCCACAGAGAGCCACAGGCCATCAAGGTAGCTGAGAGGAGTCACGCGCAAGGGAGATGGCATTCATTGCACACGTGGGTGTCTGTCATGTCATGATGTCATTCAATTGCAGACGGATGCGCCACCCACTGTGGTGCATGATCTCATACGGTCCTGGGCAAAGGTGCGTGGGGGGTGGGCGGGCCATAAACCAACGGCCATTCTTGTGTGTACATATGACTTGATATGTTGATTGGCCTCTGCTGCACAGGAGCACCCCCCCAAGAACACCAAGCACGCTCTGCTCCAAAAGGACATCATGTAAGCGAGAGCAAACCAACACGCCTCACTGACGGCAAGGCGCTCCCTGTCGGTGTCTCTGTCAGGACGGAGGGCATCGACTTCTCTCTGCACAAGGACGTCAGCACACTGATGGGCTCGTGCATACGCGAGGACAGGGATGCGTCATCGCAGGCACAGCCCAGGTGGATGCCCAATCCTCAACCCTTCTGGGGTCAGTAAGTGCACAGGGCTCCAGAGCACTGCAGACACACATTTGCTATCGATGCCGTTGCTCGTTATTCTGTTGTTCATGCAGGCCCTCAAAAGAAGGCGCGGTCGAGCCGGGGCTAGCTAAAAGGGACGCATGAGCGAATATATATATGTAGTGTTGTCGCTCTCCTCTTTGTCTTGCATGCGTCCGTCGATTGCCGACACAAAAATGATTCACCATTCGTTGCGTACATTCTTCGGAATTGATGCCGTGAGTATCATACACAAGTGTCCTTTGACACGCATGCACACTCACTGTACAAAGCCGCATGCACAGAGCGTGTCACTGGGCCACACGAGCACCAGCCGCCTCCCCACGTGCCGCCTCTTTTTTGTCTGGTGAAGGGAGCGGACCGTTTGGGACTGCTGGCAGGTCGTTCAACAGCTGCTCCACCCTGCTCAACACATAGACAGGCTCATGGGCATACATGGTATAGACGAGACGTACCTCTGCTGCTTGTTGTCTGGCGCTTCCTGCTTTTGCGCGGCCTTGTCTTTGTCTTGAATGGATAGCTCGGCGAGCAGCTCGGCATACTGTGACTCGAGCGCATCGTCAGTCGCCTACAAGGACGTCCACACACGGACACATGGGAACGATGGATGGATGTGTGCATGCATGCACGCATCTCTGACTCACTCACCCCAGCAGCTGCGAGCCGTGCGTCGGTGCCTGCCGAGAAAGCCGCACTCACCTCAGCCAAATCGTCCTGTGTGTGGTGAGGCGTCGACACAGGTGAAAGGCGCAGATCGACAGACACGTACGTGCATACCTGTACATCTGCAGCGTTGTCCATGGCAGTCAGGACGCGATCGCGGTCACTGGAATATGGAGCAAACAGACAGATATACACACAGGCGACTAAATGGTGACACCCATACGTACGTCGCAGTCACTCACATGGTGCTTGCTGTGGCTTGTGTGGTCGTCTCCAGCATGGCCGTCACCGTGCTGAGTGACACGGCTGCATCACGCTGCAGCATGCACTGAGACACCTGCACACATACACACATACACAAGCAACAGCAGTGCAATGCTGCACATGTGCACGCGCCACGAAAGTGCGATGTGATTGTATGTATGTATGTGTGTGTGTATGTATGTGTGTGAGGTGTGGGAGGGGTACGGTGAGCAGCTGGTTTTTGATTTTGGTCAGCTCCGCTGCGATCATGTTGCGACGCTTCAACTCGACCAGGGCCACTGCATGACACTCATACACGCGCACGTGCCGCATGTGTGTAAGCAGATACATATGGAAGCATTGCGTACGCTGCTTGTCATATTTGAGCAGCCTGCGGCAGTTGGCGTCCACCTCAGTCCACCTGACACCCACAATGCAACCATATACATGCGACATGCCCGGTTGTGTGCAGATCATGTGATAATATCGTTGTGAAGGCAATACTTGTTGAGCAGGTTCTTCTCTCTCTTTTTGAGCTTGTCCTCGACGTATCGCTCGATCAGGAGAGCACGGTCGTGGTCACTCAGCGACAGTGTTGCTGTCTGCACGAGTGAAGGTGCACATGTCATATGACATCCCTCCCTCATGGCTCTTTTTTTGTCGGCTCACTTGGTGCTTGTCTGAGCTTGTGTGCAGGGCGACTTTGACAGCCTGACCACACACAGAACCTGTGCACAAATGCGCGTGCATCTGTGAAGTTTCATGTGCTCACATCTATGACGGCTCCCTGTCCAGCACTGACACGCACAGCAAGGCTGCTCCTGCAAACGTACGCATTCATCCACATGCATGCATGCGTTCATTCGTTCATTCACGTATGGATGGCGACTCGTGACGGGCGCGGCGTGGTGCATACTTGTAGTTGACGAGGTACCACACGAAGATCTCCACATGCTCGGCCATGGTGCACGTGCTGTTCTGACGATCGCTGCCCACTCCCTGTGCACACACATACACATACACATACATCCACTCGTGTGTGACACATTCATGTATACATAGACATCCATACACGGTGTGTGAGGAACTTGCGTATGTCGTCTCGTGACAGCAGGATGGCCTTGCCCTCGCCGTCTGTCAGCAAAGAGTCCGACCACTCGCAGCAACGGTCCTGTGCGCCACAACACAACACAGCACATACGCGCATCATATTTTTGTGCGTATGGATGGGCGCGTTGCCTACCGTGGAGGCGAGTAGGTCTGCTTCGAGCGCCTGAGCAAGCTCCTGCGCACAAGACAGATACACGCATACATAATGGACAGTACGTGCCCAATCTCTCTCTCTGCTACTCATGAATTACGACGTGCATATATACCTCAAGCACACTGATGACCACCATCCGCTCACTTTCGTCCATCGTGACACGGCTATCCCGGCTCGTATGGCCACTCTGTACGCATGAAACAGTATACAGTACAAAATACATACGTGCAGATGTCAATGGCACCTGTGCCCATGCGTACCACGTATGAAGCAGCAGCGGTGATAACGCCAAGACCTCCGAAGACAACGTGACTCGTCACACCTGGTAAGAGTACGCACGTCATCCCTCCCTCCCTCCCCTCTGCGTGTATAGATGTCCGCATACCAGCGATCGAGCGCATCAAAGACGGCTGGGGCGCCGCATCTGCCGCCTGCCAGTGCTTGGGCTGCTGCACATACACGTATTGCGCATCAATGGCGATCTCATGAATGAATGAATGAATGAAAGAATGAATGTGTCGTGCATGTTTGAGAACCGATTCGGGCAGGACGGTTGACATGGGTACGATGCTCTTGTCTCGACAGAGGCGCGCCAAGAGAGCCGGTAGGCCTGGCGGTGGATGGTGGGCATACGCATGCGCCCTGATGCACACATGTGCCTGCAGATGTCTGCTTACCCTGTGGCACGATGGGGAACTTCTCTCTGTGCTGTTTGAACATCTGCACCAGCTGCTTGGCAGATATTGCCAGAGAGGACCTGGGAAAAGCACCAAGACACACCCAGGTGTGACATGAGTCTTCAAGAGTCGTCTGCGTACTTGTATTTGACCACGCTCTCCATGCCACGCTGCCAATACGCCACCATCGCCTGCTCGTGCGGCTGTTGACACCAAACACATATACGGACACATGCACTCATGTCCGAGCGCATTCATGCACAGATCTGCCATGCCAGCTTCATGTATAGGCAAACAAGCGCACCTTGTCATCGAACGTGCCGAACATCTCCTGCAGCTGCGATGGGTCGTCGCAACCAAAGGCGCCGTACACGTCATCCATCGACGTGGGCTGTCTGCGCGAGGAGGAGGGATCCATGGGGTGAGTGCGTGCGATGGAGGAGCTCAGGTTATGGAGTAGGACGAGCGTTTTATGCTACACCCTAGCGATGTTGGTTACTGGTGGCCTTGGCCTCCTCTTTGAGCCGAGTCCGATTCATCTACACTGGCCACGCACGATCACACTCCGATCGACCGATTCCACGCCCCTCTGTGTCCTAGCCTTCTTACGGTGGTCGAATTGTGCGCTTGACAGAGACATGAATGGCTTACGCAATGTGTTGTGGGTACATCAATGACAGTAGGATTTTTGTCGGGCGAGTGTTGTGTCTTGGTGGAATCAACCCGGTGACGTCCCTTCGCATCATCGCTTCCCCTTCCAGACAGACGCCCACTCAAGACAGGCAGAAGACAGACAAATAGACAGACCTTTCCTCTTTCCTAATTGCCCGTTGCACTACTTTTGGCACGTCCTACGAAAACTCCAGTCTTTCTCTGCCATAAGCCCTTCTGCATCGTCGGACGCCCAAGGCTGGTTCACAGTCTTCGTCACCACCAGGCGCAGATACAGAAGCCACGCACAAGCCGCCATCGCCACAGGATGTCCAAAGGGACAGCGGAGTCGATACCGTCTCGGCAATCCAAATAGACTCCTATCAGCGTCACAGACACCGCCTTCGCCGAATGCAATGGCGCAGCGCTCAAAGTGAGATCTGATGTCGTACCGGCGAGCCTGCACGAAATGAAGCCAGGGAGGGAGCTCAATTGCGTCGCGTGAATGAGCACATGAGATGTTCTCGTCTTTTCCTCACAAAGTGGCACGACGGCGTTGCGGTACATTCCCTTTTTCCACTGCCGCATTCTTCACATGTGCCACTGCTGCTTTTCGTTGAAAAGCGGGTGCAGCACTCGTTGCCGTCAGTAGAGGTCTGGTCATTACCTTAACAACCTGCATACATACATGTGATGCGAGACACAGTGAATGTGTTCGCCCCACTCTGACCTTCCATCTCTGCACTCGTTGGCGGAAGTGTCACCGCAGTCAGGGGGGTCACTGTCTGAATGGCATCCTCTAGATCCGACTGACACGTGTTGCCTTCAGCTGTACCACGTCAGCCTCCATTCTAGCTGTACATCTCGATGCCTTCAGATCTTGTCGCCAACGTTTGAGCCGCGGACGCTGCATTACGGCCCCCCAAGGAGGTACGGCACCAGCTGCGTGTAAAGCGCCCCTTTCCGCCACCAGGAAAAGTTGGGAAAGTGAAACACAATCGGAAAGGCCGCCGCCTCGCCGCGCTGGGCAGAAAGCAGCTGCTCTTGAAAGACGAACAGTCGCCGCCGTGGCTCCCACATGAACACTCGCCGAATCCACGGCACGAGCTCACCCGCCTGTGCATCGACGAAATTGTAGCAGAACTAGGGGGATTCACACAACAACACACGAAAAATCGGGCAGCCGCCACACCAGACACATCGCTTCGTACATACGTGCGCGTTGACATCGAGGACGGCCGAGTGGGCGTACGGGAGGGTGGTGTCTGCCAGCAGACGTCCGAGCGCCTTCTGGTCGCTGCTGTCTTCGTGCCGGTGCATAAGCGGCGGCAACTGCTGGCACACATCCATAAGGGTGGCGGTAGTGCCGGCGAGGCAGCCGGCGTTCACGAAGGGGCGTGGGCGGAGAGGGAAGGTCTCGCGGGTGGCCACCATCTGAGAGTACCACTTGCGTCTCTTGCCGGCCGACATTCCCATCATGGCATCAACAAGTGTGGCATCGACCTCGTGGCACACGGAGGGGGCACACGCCGGCTCCATTCCCACGATGAGCTGAAGGTCGTTGCGCTGCTGCTCCCGCGACTTCATGGCGTCCCGCCTTACCCGCAGCTGCTCGCGCGGCGTTGTTGCGGCCTCAATCCGCTCTGCCCAGTAAGCCTCCTACTTGTTCTGTCCCTCGAGCACCATCCACCGAAACCGCGCCGCCGCCTCCGCGGCCGTTGCCTGCACCAGTGTGTCCGAGGAGTCCATCAGCAGGATGATGGAGTCGTTCGAGAACGCCCCCGACGCCAACTTCGAAGCCGCCAGCGCCACGAAGTCAAGACATTTGCGCTCGCGCAGCTGTGCCCGCAGCAGCGCAGCGCGCCGTGTATTTGGCGGGCCGGCCAGCGCCCCTGCCGGAGCTGCGTGATCATTGCCGATGATGTGGACGACGAAGCCGCGCTGGCGGGCGAGGTGGCGCTGCATGATGCCGTGGAGGTAGCCACGCAAGTCCTTCAGCCAGTAATTTTTCGTGGACATCATGACCAAGTGGACGTCCCCCAACCCAGCAGGGCTGTCGGCCGCGAAGAGTTGGGCAAGATACCAGACGGCAGCGGTGACGAAGCCGATGAGGGCGAGGAGGCGGAGGAAGCGCCGTGCCCACCGGCGCTGCACATTGCGGTGGGCGCTGACGGGACGGGCGGTGGTAAACCAGGACTTCCTCTCGGGCATCTGGGACGGCCCATTGAGTGGGCTCCTCGTGTACGGCCACATGGTTCGATGAGGCTGTAGTCGGTTGTCTTGTGTTCTGCTCAGACCATTTCGATGGTGATGGTCTAGATCAGCTCAGGTTGAGTCAAGCGCGGGGACTTGAGAATGATTGAATGAATGACGTCACGCGGGAAAGCCCAACGAAAAGCGACACGATAAGAGGTGCGAAAATCAACCTGCCACAGCCACCACACACAACAACGACACATCGACAACGCATGAATCCTCACGCGAACACACGCATACCAGGAAGGCAGATGAGCGATTCAATTGCGAAGGACGCCGAAAGCCAGGGATCACAAGGCAGCAGCGGTGGACCACAAGGGATGGCGCGATCTAAGAGGCGCTGCGGATCGCTTCTGAAGGCTCTTCTTGCAGGTGCGTTGGGGGATGGCTGGTACGCGCATTTGCGCCCAGGTTGTGCATGAAAACACCATAATGAATCTTTCATCCAGCAGGTCTCGTGCGTCTTCCGACAGTGTCCATCTCCGGCGGCTACTATGGCACTCACTGAGTCAGTCATTCGGCAAGATAGAAGTGGGCACTCCAGAGATACAAACAAACCGACCGACCGACAGACACTGACACAGCTAGAACAAAAGAAAGAAAGAAAGAAAGAAAGAGCGACAGACACACGCAACGTCCAGAGAAGAGGTGGAGAGGGTCACGGATCATGCAGACGCATCACGGACGGACAGACAGACAGACAGACAGGCAGACATGAAGGAAGAGGAGGCGGACACCCACTACCTACCGACCAGCCATTCATGCATCATCCATCCATCCATCCATATGTCATAAAACGGTCTGCCTGCCATATGTATGCTACAGCACACCCAGCCACCCGCCCCATCCCATCCCACCATCGGCAGCACGTGTAAGTGCTGGATATCATGGTTATGGTATTCTACGCTGGTCTAGTGTCTGTGTGTCTTGTCGTCTACTCGCACTTGGCGGCTTTGGCGGGGCGATCCTCGCCGTCCTCATCCGCACCCTCTGCCGCACGCTTCACACCTGAACAAACCAGCAAACCAACAAACAAACAAGCAAACACGCATCCCCCATTCATACCAACGTGACAGACGCACCGATGCGCCCGGTCATTCACTAGTGACTGTGTCTGCACCTCGGCCGGCGGTATCGCCGTCCTTGTCCCCTCCGCCGTCCTCCTCTTGCTCGTCCTCCTCGTCGTCGATGTCATCTGCACAAATCCATCCATCGGTCCATGAGGGCGAACAACCCACGGCAGGAGCACGGCACGTGCACGTGGAGGCTTGGCATACCGGGTAGGTCTTCGTCAGCTTCGTCATCCCCCGGCTGGAATTCGTCCTCGTCTTCCTCGTCGTCAGGTATTTGCTGAAATACAGACGCACCGTACACCATTCTATGCTTCATTTTGTCGTATGGTGTGGTGTGGTACGGTGTGCCTGACCCCCTCATAGAAGGCTTTGAGGTCTACGCGGTCGCCATCGTCCCCGTCTTCATCTTCTTCGTCACCGTCACCGTCACCCTCATTGTCGTCACCGTCACCACCACCATCACCACCATGCCCACCATCACCACCATCACCACCAGACGCGCCACCGCCACCCGCACCACCGTCGCCACCACCTGAGTGCGTGTATTCAGACATGCAGGGGTGTGACACATCCATGCGTCGAGGAGGTGTCCGTCCGTGCATCCATGCCTACCGTCTTGCTGTTGCTGGCCCTGCCCCTGCTGCTGCTGGTCTTGTCCGCCCTGTTGGCCGTTTCCCCCATCGCCTTCTCCGTTGCCGCCGCCCTCGCCTCCCTCGCCCCCATCCATCGGCTCGGCCTCCAAATCATCGGCCATGCCCTCGTCGGCGTCGTAACGGTTCTCGCCACGGTCTACCACGTCACGGCTATCGCGGTCGAGGCCGTTCAACACCTGCACGAACAACAATGGACAGACAGAGAGAAGCGCTGGCCAGTGGTAGTTTGTTGCTTGCCTTCAGCTTTGGGAGCATCTTGAGGATGGCGGTGCGGTTGCCTTCTGTGTTGCTGGAGGAGTCGGCTTCCATCAGGGGCGTCAGGGTCAAATCGAGTGACTTGAGGTGCTTGAGCTTCTTCTGAGGGGATGACACATCAAATCAACACAGGCGTGAGGCAAATACCAGGTGATGAATATGAGCGATCTGTCGGGGTCTCACGAGTGGCTTGAGCGCGTCGATGCTGTCGATGGGGTTGCCTGCTAGGTTGAGCTGCACCAGCTTGCTGTTCTTGTTCGTGCTGAGCACCTCCAGGCCTCCCTGACAGATCAGATTCATGCAACCTCCGGATGCAGGCATCCCTGTACGAACCAGCGAACCTTGATGCGATTGTCCACCATGGCCAGGGACACCAGCTCCTTTGGCACCACGAAGTTGTCCATCTGACAGATCCACACCAACACGCAAGTACCAGCAACAGCGCACCACAGATCTATGTACGTTGATTTTCCCATGTTCGGCACCCACCTTTTTTATGCGGCACATGCGCAGCGACATCGAGTTCATCTGAGACATCTCCTGCAGGAACTCGGCGTCCTTCGACGTGAAGCCGTGGGCGAGCGACACGGCGTCGAGCTGTAGGGAGCCCTCGTCGTGTATGCACTTACCCTCCTCCCTGAGCTTCAACTCTACCAGGTCCATGAAGGACGGAGGCAGCGGCTGCCCGCACGATGAACTCGACATGAGCGTCTGATCAGTGATGAACTAGACTCAGTGATCAGACGCCTTGCACGATGATAGTCGACAGTGACCCTGCGGGTGCAAGAATCGAGTACGGATTTGTTTCAGGGTTGAACTACCCTAATACTGCTTATGCACACAGGGTCCTCCGGATTCCGCTATGCCATTTGCCACGGGAGACGTGCCGTCATGTTTGTCAAACACTCATGGGTAACATCCATCCATCCATTGTCAGCATCTATCCCCCGCTCTTCTGTTCTGCACTGCTCGCATCAGCACCGCAGCTCGTGGCCGCGGTGCTCGACGCAGCGGCCCCGCCACCCGCATCTGTGCTACTGCTACTGCTGCCCGCAGCACCCGCACCCCCCTCCATCTCCTGTACAGCCACAGCGCCACTCGACACCTCTTGCGCAACAGATGCAGACACAGACTCTGCGGACGCGTCCGCGGATGCGCTCGCTGTCGCAGATGCAGCCGTAGGTGCGGCGGGTGCGGTGGTTGTCGACACCGCCGCCTGTGCGGTGCCGACCATGCCCATCATCATGCCCGGCCAAGCAGAGTAGTACGGCATCGCCACACTGCTCATCGCACCCGCGTCTGTCGCGCCCGTCTGCGCCTGCATCATGGCCTTGTACGCCGATGCGACGTAGTCTTGGTACGCCTGCATCTGACTCTGAAGGGCCGCCGTGGCGCCGCTAGCCGTGGCTGATGATGAGGACGGGTCGCCTGCTGGTGCTGGCGCAGATGACGATGGAGCGGAGGCATGAGTGGCGGCAGTTGCAGGGGGGTGGGTGAGTGGAAAGGGGGCGTAGGGGTACCCGGCGTAGGCAGTCATGTACGCGCTGTAGTCGTAGGGGCTGTAGGATGAGGAATAGTACACCGAAGAACCGTTGGCTGTGGTGGGGTTGGCTGTCGTGGGGTCGTACGAAGCAGCAGCTGCAGCACTGCCATCCATGCCTGATCCATCATTCATCAAGACGCACAAATATTGCATGCAAGAATGCCATCAACCCAGAAATTCGCCTTGCGCAAACGAACCAGTGGGCGGTGGTCTGAATGGCCGGGGCGCTCCCCCGAATCTCGACGGCCCCCTGGGTGGTCCAGCCGAGTAGGCCCCTCCCCCTCCCCCTCTCCTCAGCCCCAGACCGGGCACGTTCGTCCGTTTGGGCACAACCTTGATGGCGCGCTGCCTGAACAAACAAGCCATGAGTGGACGGATTGGTCGATGCCTTCACCAGCACACATCCACACATCCACCCAGTGATCGCACCGAAAAGATGTTTCGTTGAGCGTGAGGGCATTCTCGGCCGATTCGACGTCCATGAACTCTATGTAGGCGAACCCCTTGGGGTGACCTGTGAATGGACGAGGGTTTTCACCGTCTTGTTATGAATGTTCACTTCAGAGGGGACCGTCGTGTTACCTGTGTACTTGTCCACAAGGATGGTGACCCGATTGATTGGTCCAATCGACTTGAAATGCTCTGCGCGCACACAAGTGCACCCCACCCCAACATTGCAGCTTATTCCCTTGCCCCTCCTTCTTTTCGTTCTCACCCTGGAGCTCTTCACACGTCGTGTGGTAGTCCAAATTTCCCTGGCGGGTGAACAGATGCATGCAGTGTGAGAGGATCATCAACCGACGCGTGTGAAGGAAAGGCTCCTTACCACATAGACACTCCTGCGGTCAACCTCAAGTTCCCTCTCCACCCAGCTGGGCACCACATCAGTCTGGTTGTAGTACGCGGAAGCCTCGCTTACTTTCTCCGCTCCGCTCATTGCGCCTACTCTCTGTTGGTCGACCGGATGCTCGCCGGGAACACTCTGGGTACCTGACACCCACACAAACACAGACAGACAAGGATCGGTGTGCGGTTGCGTGGAGCAATGTGGGAAAGCTACCATTTTCACCGTCGTGGTGGGTTACCACTGGCAGGGTTTAGGGCTCAGGGTTTTGACTTTAGGGTTTAGTCAATCCGGACAAAGAAGAGGGGCATCCGGATTGGAGCCATGTCAGTGGAGCAGCCCAGGTGCTGCAGGCAGCCAGACATGTATGTGTGCATTGCAAGATGTGTCATAGGGACGAGCTGACGAGAGGTGAAAAGCATAGAGCTGTCCAGCCAGCGCATATGAGTGGGCGATTCTCTCGAGCGACACAAATCACTTGAGCGCAGCCAGGAGCATGCACGCACGCAGACATATCGACAGGCACCGGCACACGTGCAATTTTGCAAGTGTGCGGCGCATAATTTAATCCCATTCGGCCCCCACTTTGCATGTAGTGGAATTTCAGGAAGGAATGACCGATTGGTGTGTCGTCATGTCGTGCCTTGTTCTGTTGTTGGCCTTCTCCTTGCCTGGAGGCATTGCCTTGCGAGTGCGGCGGGACGGTGCCTGGGATGCGAATCTTGATGGGAACCACACGGTGAGACTCAATGGGTGAGATCAGACTTGTCTCACATTTGTGTTTCGTCGTGCTATATTTGAATTCACCCCACCTCCTCGCGCCACTCTCAGGAAAAACAGGCCGGTCACGTCGCGTACATTGGCACGATCGTGAGTCACACAGTGCAGAGTCACAGTGAACGGCTGTGTGACTCTTGTGCTGGATGTCTGCCGTATGCATGGAGCAGCTCGTGGTCATGTCGGCTGGGACGCCAGCTTCGGTAAGTGAATGCACGTTGACCTCAATCATGCATGCAGGCTTGTAGCTCTCTACACATGCAGGGAAAGAGCACTGCACTTGAAGAGCTGAAACGGCGACACGACTGCTGCAACAAGCCTCTCGGGACACCGGTGGGTTATGTCCTCTTCCCCATGGCGGAGTGCGCTATGCATTGAATGTTGCTGCTCCGCAGGGGTGCAAGGACGAGGAAGAAGCATTCGAGGAAGAAGGATCCAAGCGGGTCTGTGGCGTGGACCTGGTTGGTCTCTGGGTGAGTGAGAAGAATAATACAAAAGGATTGGCAGCTTGTCTCTTTCCACTGATTGACACAGGTCGGCGATGAATACGTGGCAGAGGTAAGGCAGTCAGTGGCTTGGCACTTCTGGCCTTCATGCCTTCCTTCACTGTACAAACATACAGGCGGTCGCGACTGAGTGGGATACTGAAGCCAACGGCTACCCCGACGGTGAAGACTACATGAAGCTCAAGGCCAAGGGTACATAACAGCTGCCTGCCCTGCACATATGCCATCCTTTCGTTCATCTTCAAATGTCGACTTTTTAGCTCTTGCTAAGATGAGGCAAGACATCCGCGACTACTTCAAGGTGCGGTGAGGAGGCTTATGTTGGGATTCGTGGGTGCCGGCTCTCACATTGCACGTGCTGTGAATACACATTCGGGATGCCTGTGGCATGACACTGTCTCGAAGACTCTCTTCGAGTACCTCAAAGCGTCCTACGAGGTGAGCAGAGACCAATCAATCAATCAGTTGACCTCTGCCAAGCTCTTCCGTTGCAGTCGGCGCCTTCTCTCCTGCTGGATGAAGCCAGCTTCAGATACCACCATGCAGCCATTTTAATCGGTAAGCGTCCGACGGTCGACCTACACTATCATTGACACTCGGGTGCACGCGTTCAGACGAAGTGCACCTGCGGCAGGAGATAGAAACTCACGCCAAGCTGACTCGCCGGGAGACATTCAAGCTCAATCAGCGGCTAGATGAGGCCTTCAAGTCCCACAAACAGATCCCACAGGTACGTACGGTGTGACCTCTCCCTGATGAGATCATGGCCGAATGAATATCCGATGCGCCTGTGCACAGATGAGACTCAAGAATGTGGTCCAGCTTGTGTCGCCTGACGCCACAGAATCCTGGCAGCCAGCCAGCCTTAGCCCGGGTGGGTGAGCAGAGACAGGAATCGTCATGTGTCTTTGCCAATATGCGCGTGTGTTCGTAGATACCATCCCGGCAGCCAAACAAGTATGTAGCGGCCAACCCTCATAAGACTAGAAGGAAACGGCTGGACAGACAAATGCGTTTGGTGTCTCAGCTCAATCAGTTGCCAGCGCTTTACCCGCAGGGTTGGCCCTTCATCGTAAGCCAACATGACGACAGACACCAGCCACAATGGCGAACGGACGCGACACGTGTGGCATTCGTGGATATGTACGTACGTATCTGCAGTGGTCGCTGGATACGACCATCGAGACACTCAAACGAGTTTCCCTCCGAAAGGGCCATCCGACTGTCGCGTAGGACCGTGAATGGCCGATTCAGCAAGGACAGTGTTTTCCTTCCATTCCCACCATCAGGAACCCGGAGAAAGGCGTCAGGCTTGTCTTGAGTGTGGTAAGCTAAGCGAGCGAAGCGAGCGTAGCGAGCGGTAGTATGCGGGCAGGGGCTGAGGGCTCTTAAAGGGCTAACCATGCTGTCTCTGTTATGTCTCTTACCTGTGTTCATCACATATTGATCGAATACAGAACTACCTCTACGCCATGTTCAAAAGGGAGGGGTTCGTGGACGACTTCGAGGGGAAGATCAATACCATCCACTACAACGCGCAGTCCTGGAAGCCTTGGACCGATGGCATCTACCTCCATCGTCTGCCCCGCTGGTCGTCTATCGGTGTCGACGCCGTGGTCTTCGTTCATTCCGTTTTGCCAGCCGTGAGCACAAGAGCAACAAATTGTCCTCTTCATCCACTCATGTATGTATCCGCACACACATTCTTGCTTTGATGTCCGCAGTACACGGTAGGAGAACTCGACGCCACCGAGAAGGATCTGGCCACGTGGTGGAAGAAAGCTCGAGAGCTGACTGTCGAAGCTGTGTTCGACCCCAACTTCGCCATCTTCGCTCACAACCCCAAGGTGAGTCACGTACTTGGCGAGAGACACGGCATGCCACATGTACTGAAGGAAACCAATGCCTACAGTACGCGGGCATTGCCGAGCACATGGAAACTGGCTTCTCGCCGCCCAAAACAATCATCAAAAAGCAGATGAAGGATGTCTACAACAAGTGAGCCAGTCTTCCATTCAGCCAGCAGACAGGGCAAGACATCCATATCTTGTTTGTGTCCATAGACTAGTACGGGACCTCATCACTGTTGCAACGACATCCGACAAAGAGCCGCAGCCAAAAGCGGCTACCTTTCGCCTGACGAAGCAGTCGCGGTCGTCTTCGCGCACTCGAGGAGGAAAAAGCGATACCCAGTGAGACTGGCCATGGAGAAAGCGACGCACCTTTTCGTGACATCAACCGACGTACCATTTAGTGATCCGCCGGATGAATGGAAAGCGCATACATTTCGTGCGATGCTTTTTGCATCGGCGGCCAGTGACATGCTTCGGGACGCACAGTTCCAGGCCAACAGAGTGCAGCGACTGTTGACCAGCGGTGTATGTCGCGCAGGCAGCCGATAAGTGTCGACAGTCATGCACTCAATACACCAATCAATGAATAATGTCGCTCGACAACTGCCCGTCCCCAACACAAACTTGGCTGAAGGCACCCAGTAGACATGCTTGTTTCGGGTTCTTGTCCTTGACCTTCCGGTTCAGAAACCTGACACACGAACATCATGATGCCGTGTATGTTTCCCACCCATCCGCTCTCTGTCCACAGCCGACCTTATGAGAGCGCTACTACCGTCTCTGTACGTGCTGGACAAGTGTGAGAGGGGATCCCCCTCTAGGAGTTGAGCCAGGTCTTCTCGATGAGATGTCTGGTGTGCGACAGAGCAGCGATTGCCTCAGCTGACCGCGATGCTTCTGTAGCACCTGCTGAGATCGATCGAGAGTCGCTTGATCATCTCATGGGCACAGTGCCTGACACAGAAGATGATGTGATGATGTGCGTGGCTACGCCGGTGCAGAAGGGATTGGATCTGACATACAAGTCGCTAAGGGGCTGATTGATTGGCAGAAGACACATGCTGTGAGAGGTCAGACAGGGCCGACCTTGGGCATGTTGATTCTTCCTTGGGCGCACATGTCGACACGTCCATGCGCAGGAAGCGCACACAGTCATTCATGGCGTACACACACCAACCATGGAGGGAGACATGTGTATGTGGACACTGTGTATGTGGCCACATACATAAGCGACTGACCGACTGATGGTACGTTGACTCCCCTGATGTACACTGCTGTCTCTCCACTAGCCTTTCAACGCGATACACATCCGAAAGGCTGGAAAATTGCTGTAGTTTCCGTTCTAATGCCGCAAGTCCTTGCAGCAGTGTCGATCGTAGTCCATGATCGCCGTCTCGCGGGCACGAGGGTCGCTGGATGCGAGTTCTTAGTTTGCATTCTCAGGGGATTTGGGAATAGTCCGACACACGCTCCATCCGAAAAGGAGGAGAAACAGCAGAGAAATCACCGACTTAGGCATGAGGTATCGCTGCACGAGTTGCTGTCTCGGTTGTTGTCCTGTCAATGCCGGACGATCTGTCTCGCACGGGTGTCATCAAAGGCAGACACCGAGAACAGCACAGTGTAGTCCGGGGAGAAGAGTTTCAACGGTTTTGGCAGTCATCTCCTTGCGGTGGACCAGAAGAGCACCTCGAGCTCGGTTTCCGGCCAGACCATTGTTGAATGCGCGGAACACTTCGATCAGCTCGTCGTCGTTGAGTGCTGACGAGTCGGTGGGGGACAAAAGAACCGGGTCGAGAGACAACGAAGCCGCAATTTGCCTGTAGAAAACATCAATGCGTTCCGGCGACGAAACTCCTATGAGAATCAGCTTTGATGCAAAACGTTCCAGCTTAGGCAGCTGTTGCCCTGCACGGAACACGAGAACGACCCGATCAACCAACACGCTCTCGACGTATGTCTTTATCGTCTCCTGGAGAGCCCCAGTTGGAGAGGTTTCTTTCGCGGCGTAAATTACAATGGAGACAAGACGAGGGATACGCGACTCGATGCAGCCGCTCTCGTAGGGAAAGTGAGGAGGGTGTGGACGTCCTGTGCCTAACTTCCGCCCAATATAGTAAATGCCGCCGGCGCCCGTGAAGCTGCGCACTCTTCGTGTTTCAACCGCATTCCGCTCGTCGTACAAGCTGTCGAATAAATCAACAAACCTGTCTGCCAAGCTCGATTTGATGCGGATGGGATGCAAATCGAATTCTCGACCGCATGAATGCCAACCGTCTTGTTCGCAGAGTATTGCCGAGCCCTTGTACGAGTCCCTAAGCTTCTCATGCCAAACCAAGACTCCCCCGTCAGAGAGTAACGAGAATGCCTTGTGCAACAAAGTAAGGCCATCGATGACATGTTCAATGACGTTGATCATCACAATCGTATCGAACCGCTCTTCAAGGGAGAGGTACTCATTCGGCAACGAAATCACGCGGGTTGGCCAACCTCTCAACGTGCCTTCGCGGTACGAACATTTTTCTACGCCATCCATATAGTGAAACGCCAGTGGATCCGCCAACGTAATGCTTTCCACCGTCACATCCGGCCGCGCATCCAGGAGTGTCTTCAGCTGGGTGAACGGACCACAACCCATCTCAAGCACCTTGCCCAATTGGGCAGGCAAACTGCGGTAGTTGTCGTAGCTCGCTGCGTGTTGCAAGTTTCGGTCGTGGTCAGTCTTTCTCAGGTACCAAGTCGTTTTCTCGAACTGCTGTGCGCTGCGCCATCGCGAGCACGGTACTTGCGCCACGCCGTAATCAGGATGGAAACAACATCGATCGTCCTGACAGATCCACAGACCCAGAGTATGTCTCCCCATGGTACGCGGCCCTAACTCCCAGTGTATACCCTCCCGGGCGCCTTACATATGGACCGCACTCTTTTGTGTGCCCCTCAAGCATCTGACTGCAGTTCTGACCTGTGTAGCCTGCCAACAGAGAAATTGCCAGATAAGAACATGTGGGGATTTTACGACTTGCCCGGGAAGCACAGACAGGTGCCAAGGAAACAGGTTCCATTCGAGGCCGAACAGGATCTGCTGCAGGACGATTCCAAGTGAGTCCCACTTGACTGGTCGATCGACACGCCACGGGACCTCTCTTGCCTCGAGGCATGGCTGGGCGGCATGGCTGGGCGGCAGAGCAGGGAGAAGTGGGACCACCGAAGACTAATCTTTGCTTATGGCTTGCCTTGCTGTTGTTTTTTCGGCGCCTGAGTTGCCAAAAGCTGGAGCCATTCTAAGATCCGCCAGCCTAAAACACGTGCACCAACACAAGACGAACGCAGCCGGTATGTGCAGATGCGAGTCGGCTTTTGTACGCGTGCTTGTGAGTTGTTCGATCGTCATGAATTGCCACAGTGCGTCGGCAATGGAAACATAGGTTTGCAGAATACGGGGCAAGTCAGGAACACCGCTCCTCAGTGCGGCCACCAAGTGCCACAAGGTCAATGCAGCCATAGACCCTGGAGGACACTCGTTGATCTTACCTACAAAGAGAAATGAATATGGCTTATTTTCTCTTAAGTGAGCAGTGTCCATTTCGCTCCTTTCACCTATGGTGAGTCCCTGGGACACAACTGATATGTTGGATGCCATCTCCGTGAGATGATTTGCCAGAGACACAGAGATGCCCTCATGTCGCGCAACTGAGTCGATTGACTCCAGTCCCTCAGACAACAGGTCCCAGCTGCCCGCCGCACACACTGAATCACTCTCAAGGCCAGCCGCATCAACCACGGAGCGGAAATGCATGAGCATGCTGAATACTGGCCAGCCGGAAGTCAGCAGCGCTTCAAGCGGCAGACGGGAGCGCATCAGATCGATGGCGCGCAGCACTCGACGGGCGCTGTCACCGTTGTCTGGCTCTGCCAAGGCGTGCAGGGCGTGCAGCAGGAACGACGCAAAGGTGCCTATCGCCAGTGGGGAAGATGCGTTGCCGGATGTCAGCCATCTGACCGCCTCTTCGGCGCCCGTTGTGGTCTTGCCAAGGGCTGACGCGAGCAGCTCGGAAGAGCTGTGATTTCCACGAGTGTAGAACGGCGGGTACAGCTGACGGAGTTCGTCCCGCGGACTGAAATGGCTGTCCAGCGCGGAGAGGAAAGGAAGGAAAACAGTGAGGATACAGAAGAATAATCCTACACGCTCCATATTCGCTCGCGTTGACTTAACCTCCACCACAACTTTTGCGACCGACCCTAGCCACACTCGTTCGCGCTGCAACAGGACCCAATCATGCCTTGCAACTGGCAATAGCGATGAGTTCCAAGCTCCTAAAACCGTCTTGCGCAAGGTCTCCTCGTCGCGGGGAGCATTCGGAAGCCACGAAAACGACTCATCAGGGTACACCGCGGGTCGCTGCTGAGGCGTTCCCATTATCGCTCACCGTTTCGGGGAACGGCTGAGCATCAGACACCCCATTTTCTCGATCATCCACCAAGACCAGGACGAAGCGCGCAGATGGTCGAGCCACACGCCACATGTAGGTCCACCACTTGTTTGAAACCAACAATTGTACAAGAATGGCGCCGAGTGCGGCATTTGGCCGAAATGCACCGTATTCTTCCTAGTGAGCCGACACACTCCGATTGTTGGTTTCAACGCGCCGCCGCAAGGTATTGTATTCGTGTTCAAGAATGATGAGACATGGGCTCGAGCCGAAAGAGAGGCTGGGTAACGGTCCACCACGGCATCGGAGAGTGCCAAAAAGTGGTGTAGACGACATTGCCGTAAGCGAACAACGCAGGAACGTATGAGAACGAGGATTTGGACATAATCAATTGGACATAATAAGCACCTCTGCTTTTATCATGTCGAACGAGCGTCAAGTCGCGAACTGTAACCTCGTTTTTCCCATTCCGACCAGTCTACACCTTTGGTTCGGAGACCGTGTACAACGACACTGATCTGGTTCACCAATCGTGGACATAATACGCACCTCTGCTTTTATCATGTCGAACGAGCGTCAAGTCGCAAAATATCACCTCGTTTTTTCCATCCGACCAGTCTTCACCTTTCGTTCGGACGCCGTGGTACTTCAACAACGCCTCCTAGGATTCTCATGCTTCAACAGTCAACAAAGCCTACTTCAACAACGCCTCCTTCAATTGCTTTGAAGTAGGCTGTTGGCATCGGTAGTAGTCGGCGCCCGTACTGTCTTGACTGACGTCGCCATGACGCACATGTACAACACACCTTCGTTCTGTTTTTCCACGCCGAGGCTCCCAATTTTGACGCAACATCGTCTCGTTACGACAGTCCGACGCCTTTATCATCGTGGAGTTCTCCTTCGCATTTCGCGACACCAATGCCTTCTGTCTGCTCGTCCGCCCGGGACCCACCGGTCCCACGAGGGAGAAGACTCCGCATACTTCCATGCAAACACCGTGTCGTGGACCTTTGAACCCCAACGATCGTTCCGCTGTTCTGAATGCACACACGCGGCTTTGCGCGGTGCTGCTTCGCGCGATGCTGCTTCGCGCAATAACGTTGGCACCCGAAACGCTGCGGCGCAACGTAATTAAGGCCGCGACGATAGAGCCAAAAGGCGCACTGAGAGTTGACTGAGAGGTGAGCCGTTTCACGGGCTGGACAAAGGACCTAACTGACAGCTCCACGTACCTCTGTTAGCAATTCTGGACACTCTCGCCTCCGCTACCCATGTGTCTGGGCTCGCTCGTCGAGCCCGGACGACGAGCCAGCCCGGACAGAGCCCGGACATCCCGTCGCTGCTGAGCCCTGTCCTGCCTGTCCACCCCGTGCAAGCCTCTTCCCCTGAAACGTCCCAAAGCCGACGCCGAGAAATATTTAAAACAACGCAAACAAATAAGAAATTGAGGAGAAATTTGAAAAATCTGACAAACAAAACGGAACCATTTTAAAAGCCGCCAAAAAGAAGGAGGAGAAACTTTGGGTTGCAACCCGTTGAATCACAAACCAATGTCCTTCACACATCGAAGTGGAGAACACTCGTTTGTATTGTCCGCACAGTCCATTTGCCTTCACACTTACACACATACACGCACGCACACATAAGACAGACATAAGGTTACACACAACACATAGAGACATGCATACATAATTCATCCAGACAAACAGCCAGACAGTGTCGGCAGAGGCACGACATTCATTCACAGAGACAGACAGTCGGGATGATACGTATATGAACCAATCAATTAATCAACCAGTCAATGTGATGTGCCGAGCGCATTTTTCGGCAACAAAAGGGGTGTATGAAATTCGAGCGCACCGGAGAGGGGCGGCAGGCAGCCGATTCGTAGACACCCCAAGAGCACGCCCATACACATAATATCATCACCGCAGGAAAAACAAGAACTTCAAGGCAACCAGAAGGGCGGCAAGACATACACATAGACCCCCCCGCGCTACATGCGCCCTCACATCACTATGCGATTCGCGGTCGGAAAAACTAGCCTAGAGCACTCCCCCGGCTTTGGGGGGTCGTGAAGTAGATCATCATGATGATGCATGCCAAACTCGGAGTGGTCCTCATTATTGGAGCCCTAGGATCATGTGTGTGTGCCAACCAATCTTTTGATGTTTCACTTCTCCATGATCATCTCCAGCAACTGTTTCCCAGCCAGACCCTTCCCCTTTGGCAGAGACTCAGTGTCCGCCAACAAAAAAACGCAGTCCACAATATAGCCGACTATTCAACCGGCATTCAATCAGAGGGGGTTGCTTTGTTTGACAGGCAGCTGTCCCTTGGATGCGCAGCAAGAGAAAGTGCGAAGATCCTTCGACGTAATACTATTGAATCGACAGACTGGAACTCGATCTCACAGGAACCTGACAGCCCCGTGGTTGTCTTCGTGGCACGACTGTTCTTTGCCGTCCATCCGCCTCAGAATGACGCTGTCATCGCGTCCCTCGAGCAGTACATGTCACACGCCCTGGCTGAGCTCGACGAGATGTACGACCAATTGGGTCTCGCTTCCCACATACTCAACACAACATGGCCAATCGTCAGGTTAGCGCAGAGGACCGATGCCTTCCCTGATCTGTTCTGTCTCTTGTTTAGGATGCTTGCTCTGTTGAAAGAGGGCCTCCCTGATATTGACTCGAACGACTGTCCTCTCTTTCACAAGTCCTCAGCACTTCGCACATTTTACAGCTCTCTCATAGCACTTGTAAGCACATGGCAAGAGCAAATGAGTGGTGGCCAGCCGCCAGCGGCCCTTCTGCGAGAGCATGCAAATGAGGTGGCTCGACTCGGCCGGGAGGTCACCAAAGGTACACGGAGGCCCACAGAGGATCTGATTGCTGAAAGGCAGAGTGTCTCTTTCTCTCCCGTAGACGCCCCTCGCTATTTTGACAAGTGCCCGCTGGCCCTCATCTCGGCAGCCATGGTTCAAAATGTCGACCGAAAAATCACTCTCGTAGATGCGTTGAGAGACATCATCAGGCAGATCCCTCTGCGGACCTTACTGAGCACCAGTAAGTTAAAACTGTATTTGGCTGACCGGCTGGCATGCCTTGTTTGTCTCAGAGTGGCCCGTGCTGGACCTCCTCGATATTCTCCATACTGACCATACCCAAAGGTGAGCTGGGGATCTAGGCAGATATATCATCGGAAATGGCTTGCCTCTCCTCAGGAATATGTCAGTTTTACACGACCTCGACGGTGCGGCCGACGAGTGCTTACACATCTGGAGGGCGGACAAGCGATATACGAGTCCACAAGAGACGCCCTCTTTTGATGCCCAGCGTCTCCTGCGTCCCAGTGTCGCCAATGATAGCTGCTTTATCATGGATTCCATTAGCCAACGAGAGAGCATCGGCCGGGAGGCAGCCCGAAAGACAACGGAAATGTGTCAGTCTGCCCTCAGCAGCCACCTCAATGCGTCCGTGAATGGGAGCGCGCAAGACGAATACGTCGCCACACAGGAGGAGGGCGCCGACGTGAGAAGCAGTATTTTAGGTGGGCAGCACGCTTCAGGACAGCTCTCCGTCGATATGCTCGAGTGGATCAGGTATGCACGCCGCTTGTTTGTCTCGAGGTGTTGACCCTTGTAGTTGGTCTGGTTATAGGTACATGCATGTGCGATTGTTTGATCGCTATTGGTCTGCCGGCTACCTCACGCGCGACTCGCATGCCCTCAGCATTGGCGCGTCAACAGGGGAAGAGGTGCGCGCATTGTACCAAGCCGGCGTGCGGCACGCCATTGGTGTCGATCTGGTGGAGAGGCCTCCACTGGTGGTCAGGGGCGACATGCATAACTTGCCCTTCGAAGACCACACCTTCGACTTCGTTTTTGCCAATGTCTTCGACCGCACACACTGTCCATTCAGCTTCGCTGCCGGTGAGCCGCCCTTGAATCCCTAGGCTTGCGTTTGTATGTGTGTGAGTACTCAAACAGAGATTGAGAGGGTCCTGCGTCCCAACGGCTACGCTGCCTTCCTCCTGCCCAGCGGCTTTGACAGGATCGGCTCTTCTTCTGCCGTCAAGCTGCCCACCAACAGGACGGAGGCCCTTGCGGCCTTCTTGAGGCTCTTCCAGTGCAGTCACCCAGCCGACATTCATGACGTCATCCCTGTGATGCAGCCGGACTGTCCCCCAGAGGGCCTCTTCGGTCCGCTGTGGGGTGTCGTGATGAGCAAGGGAAAACAAGGGGGCAACGACTGCTGGATGTGGTGCAGGCACGCAGATGCGCTTGACTCTTGCTCGACGAGAGTGCGTCACCTAGAGGGACGGGAAATTGCGGGAGACAGGAACGGCACGACAATGCCGGCCGCCACTGGGTGGCTTTCCTCTGACCTGCTGGCTTCGGTTGCTGATTCTGATGGCACAATCGTCATGACGACCGTCAACAGGGGCATGGTGAGCCATTCACACTTGTCTCAGTGTCTAGACATTCACCTGGATCCTCTGCTTTGCAGGTCGATTTCGCCATCAACTGGGCGAAGAGCCTCCACAGGCAAGGCGTAAACAGCTTCTTGGTCATTTGCCTCGACGACAGGTGCTTCGATCTTCTATCTACAAGCTTCCCCGAAAATGTGGTTCGCGCGCCGAAGGAGGTGCGTGTCTCTGTTGCTGCCACACGCTTCAACACGGAGTCGTTCGGGGCTCTTGTCATGACGAGGCCATTCTTCGTCCGCGAGATTGTCCAAAGAGGCTACACGGTCCTGTACAACGATGTTGACATGGTGTGGCTCAGGAACGCGCTTGACTTTATGCCATCCAGGCGATTCGACGTCGCCCTCCAGATCGACGCAAACTGCTTCTGTTCATGTCTCATGTTGTTTCGGCCAACAGAGGGAGCGCTTTCTCTCCTCGATCAGTGGGGGCAGCTGATGCACAAGGAGACAAGACGCAACATTACTTACAATCAGTCGTATCTGAATGAAGCTGTGAAACATCTCAGAAACAGCATGTCTATCGCCAGTCTCTCACGAAAGCTCTTCCCATCAGGTTTGAAGTTCCTTCGAAGTACATGTCAGCGCAGTATCTCTTGTTGCCATCAGGTCGGGTGTTTTTGAAGATGCGAAGTGCACCTCCCTCTGACTTCTTGACGAGACAGGAGCGAGAGGACGTGGTGATGGTGCATGTCAATTGGGTCCAAGGGGCGGCCATGAAGAAAAGGGCCCTGATGAAACATCGGTTGTGGGACGTGGACGTGGTTTCATTATTGCATGGTCACTCGACATGCCAAAACCAGGTGACTAAAATGGCTATGCATCTTCACCTGGTTTTGTAGGTTTTGCTTGCAGTCTAAATTGGTGAGCTGTTCCGAGACAAGGCCCACTTAGATGTGCTACCACAGCAAGCTGAGAGCAGCTGTCCAGCGGTCATGTTATGAACTTATTTGCGAATTTTTCCAAGGGGCCAGCAAAACATGCACGCAGAGTGACAAAATGACCTCCCCATGTCATTGAATGCAGCTGTCATTGAGTGCATGTGTATGGATGTCGATCACACATGTCCGTACAAAATAAAGCAAGTGTGGGACACACAATCAGTCATTGATTGTCTGATCGCAGACGAAAAGACTGTTGGCACGGAACTTAAATGAGCGACAACACAAACATCCATTAATACATGTACTTAAACTACCCGACGAGGTGCGGCGAAAAGCCGGTGCTTCGTCCACTCAGAAAGGGCATCCAGCATCCTCGATGCTGAATGCTGTCCAAAAGCACTCGCGGAGAAGCCGAATCCTCGGTGGATGATTCAGCTTCGGAACTAGGCGGGGGATGTGTTGCGCATGTTTCTCTACCAGGAGCTTGCGATTTCATCGTCTTTGTTTTTCTTCGGAGATATGCAGATACGGCCCATTTATGCCTTGGAGCCGCTCCCTCTGAGTCACACAGAAACATGATTCACTTGAAAAGCAGAGGGAGAAAAAGTCCCCCATGCGAAGATTGAAAATTTCTCATCGACTGTCTCGGCGACAACTCTAAACACCCTTCCTGCCATCATTTGTTTCTCCTTTACTCACTACTGTCTTATCGGGGCGGCCTACATCGGCCACGCTCTTCTTGGCGCGTAGCGTATGTGACGTATTGCAGAGAGATTCACTCAGGCTACATCAGGATAAGAAGAGACCCAGCGACCAAACTTTAGGTGGTTGCTGCGGAAGTAGTTAAGGATCCACTCGCAGCAGCGCGACCGAAGAGCCCTGCGGTCCTTGTGCATGGACAGCGCGCCTGCTTCACTGGCTTGAGGCGCATCGCCCACCCTGACACCTGGAACGGCAATCAGCGTTTGGTTTTTCTTGATGGATATGAACCAGTTGAGAGAGATGTCGTCGCAGTGGGCGTCGTCAGCGTCAAAATACTTCAGTAATTCACGCTCGTGAACAAATTCTCGAAGCGTCTCGACACCGATAAAGGCAAACCCGGGCAGCACGATATTGAACAAGGGCCAGCCACGGAAAGAATACTGACGCGATTGCAGGTCAAAGAAACGCCCCATCGTTCCGACCACAGTGTTGGGATAGGCCCGGGCGACAAGGAACATCCGCAGAATATCAGCCACATCGAATACGATGTCGTCATCGACATTGAAGACAAGCGGCGTCTTGGATTCACAAGCAGCGACCTTCCACCGATTCGAGATGTTCTTGTTGGGCTGCGTAATGACTCGCACAGGCACAAGTGACGAATTCGCGAACGATGGAGGGTCCTGGAGGCATTGAGAAAATGGACTAAGCGAATGCATGTCGGGTAAAATACCTGTTCCCCGTTGTTCCATAAGACGATGATCTCACGGACAGCTGGTTCAGTCTTAAACAGCTGGATCACACGATTGACATTGACCGTTCGTGTTCTGGAAATTGTCGTGATCAGAACGGTGAATTGAGCATCCCAATCTTTGTATTTGTCCCGGAATGCACTCTCAGACACGGCTGCGGCAGAGTAGGGAAATGAGAACACTTATGACTCTCTGCTTATGGCTTGCCTTGTTGTTGTCTCTTCAGTGCCTGCGCAGCCAAAAGCTGAAGCAATTCCAAGATCCGCCAACCTGAAACACGTGGACGCACCAAAACAAGACGCAGAAGAGACGAACGCAGCCGGTATGTGCAGATGTGAGTCGGCTTTTGTACGCGTGCTTGTGAGTTGTTCGATCGTCATGAATTGCCACAGTGCGTCGGCAATGGAAACATAGGTTTGCAGAATGCGGGGCAAGTCAGGAACACCGCTCCCGAGTGCGGCCAAGAGCCACAAGGTCAAGGCAGCCATAGACCCTGGAGGACACTCGTTGATCTTACCTACAAAGAGAAATGAATATGGCTTATTTTCTCTTTAGTGAGCGGTGTCCATTTCGCTCCTTTCACCTATGGTGAGTCCCTGGGACACAACTGATATGTTGGATGCCATCTCCATGAGATGATTTGCCAGAGACACAGAGATGCCCTCATGTCGCGCAACTGAGTCGATTGACTCCAGTCCCTCAGACAACAGGTCCCAGCTGCCCGCCGCACACACTGAATCACTCTCAAGGCCAGCCGCATCAACCACGGAGCGGAAATGCATGAGCATGCTGAATACTGGCCAGCCGGAAGTCAGCAGCGCTTCAAGCGGCAGACCGGAGCGCATCAGATCAATGGCCCGCAGGACTCGACGGGCGCTGCTGCCATCACTGTTCTGCTCTCCCGTGGCGTGCAGCGCGTGCAGCAGGAACGACGCAAAGGTGCCTATCGCCAGTGAGGAAGATGCGTTGCCGGCTGACATTGCTGACAATGTCAGCCATCTGATCGCCTCTTCAGTGCCTATCGCGGTCTTGACCAGGGCTGATGCGAGCAGCCCCGAAGGATGCCGTCCATTTTGTGATGACGACAGGTAAAAAGGCGGGTACAGGTGATTCAGCTCATCTCGCAGGGTTGACCAGTTGACAGAAGGGCCGCTGAAGGGATGATCTGCTTTCGCAATGGGAGTTGAGGACGAAAGGAGAAGGAGAACGGGGAAGAGCGGAAAAGGCTGCATTTGCAGAAAGACTTTGGTGGAGCTCGAGGACACACTTTACAGAAAGATGTCGCATCAGCCGGAGTCATCCCGATGCTGTTTTACGCGGGGTTTCTCGCCGTGAATCACTCACCAGAGCCACCCTCCATCACTACTCTCGCCTCCGCTATCCATGGGTCCGGGCTCGCTCGTCGAGCCCGGATATCCCGTCGCTGCTGACCTGCCTGTCCTGCCTGTCCTGGTCTGAGCCTGTCTGTACCGAGTCAAATGGGAGAGAGCCATCCGGCCTCGAGCCCGACAGCGCGACGTGCGCGCGGGGAGACCGGTGGGTGGGTGTGTCCAGGGGACACGGGTGGGTGCCGAAAAGCGCCGTCTGTGCTCGAGCGCTGCGAGCTCAGGCTGGCCGGCCAGGTCGAAAAGCGCGCGCAAGCTTAGCTTGCGCGCGCGTGTGTGTGCGTCGCTGCGGCTGCGAGTACGTACGCCACCGCACGCAGGCGTGCTCAGGCTGCCAATTGCTTCTTTTTTCCCCGCCCAAAACGACTCGATCTGAAACGACGAAAAACCATTCACTTACTCGTATGGGTGCGATGACTGGGTGCTGTGTCTCATTCACCCTCCACACAGGCCTTAGGAGTGTTTGCATGAAGATTTGCATAGAGAACAGGAGTCATCAACATGATGTTCAGTGGGCCCATGACGGCACAAGAGGCATGGACAGCCGACAGGACAGCATGCCATAAATCGGTCAAAGTTCCTGGGCGGCCGCCTGCAGCAGTAAATGCATTAGAAAATGATATATATCAAATCGCTCATGCGATGGGTTGGTGGATGGATGGATGGATGGGTGGGTGGGTGGGCGGCTGGCTAGGTTGGTGGGTGGGTGGGTGGGCGGGCGGGCGTGAGGGCAAGGGAGACTGGACGGCAAGTACAGTACTGGACGGTCACACCAACCCGCAAAAACGTGTGTTGGGCTGGATGAATGTCATCAGATGCCTCGCATCCTGCGTATGAGTCGGCTGCACATTTCGTCAAGCCCTACAGCGACGCCGAGACATTCTCTCAAAAATGGTGCATCCTGACCGACTGACTGACAGACTGACTGCATGACACTCACGATACGATAGGGATATAGATAGGCGACAGAGCAGTGCGTTTGTTCTTCGTCGGTGCCGACATGCGTAATCATATGCTGTACGTGCCTCGAAGTTCGTGTTCGTCGTTCAATAATTGGGGCCTCGAGACTTTTTCGTCCGGCACGTCTTTCTTGAGTGGGAGCCTCATGCGAGCTTGGGGGCTTTGCACGCGTTTCGCGACTCGCGCGGGAGGACCGCCCGACCCCCCGACGGAGGAGGGCAACTCATGGCTCATCTGACCCTCCTGTGAGTCACCAATGGGCCCTTGTTGCCTCAAGTGAAGTAACGCTGCTCTTCCATTTACATAGTGACTTGACCTCGCCAAGCAAACTCCATCTCTCGTCGGAAATCACCGTCCGAAGGGTTCATCTCAGATGACAATCAAAATGTCTGTATTTCTCCATTCATTCACTTTTTCATCGGTCCGCTCTTTCAGAGAGTGGTGCTTCATTTTCTTGCGGTCATTTTGAGCCATGAGTCGTCAGCCCGTATGGCTGATTTGAGTCTCTTTGGGAGGTGATTGGTTTATGCGGTTCATTTTGCCTGTGTACAGTCATCGGGGTGGGGTGATTGCTTTACAGAAATGAGTGGTTTATACGGTGATTCCTTTAATCGATACTTACTGTATGTCGCGCAGGCAACTGCCCGCCCCCAATACTACCCGACGAGGTGCGGCGAAAAGCTGGTGCTTCTGCCGGCAAGCGGGCCCTCCACTCAGAAAGCTGGACAGACGCTCAGAAGGCCAGCCAGCGCCACGGAAAGCCAGCTTTGCACTGCAGAAGGCCAGAATTCCACTTGGAAATCCAGCTTTCTAGGCGGAATGCCAGCTTTCCAGGCGGAAAGCTGACGCAAAAACGGCGGTTTTGGACAAGCAGATGAAGCAAACGTGCTTCAATGACCGAGGGACATTGAGTAAGGCGCGGGACAACAGTAAGGCTACGCTGCAGGCTCAAACCATACCCATCCAGCGATTCCATCCATACATGCATCCATCCATCCATTCAGGCAGTCAGACAGGCAGACAGTCAGTCGCACGCACCGACCGACGGACACGCAACACATCCATCGACATACAAATGGGCACGAGCACGACAAACACTTTGTGCTCACATGCCATGGACACACACGAGTCGGCTGCACACGCACGCGTAGGCGTGGTCACGGGGATGCGGGAACACCCACATACAGATCGGTTGTGTGTGCGGTAGACGGTCGATACACATATATTCATGTCCTTACGACAGTGGAGGCACTGGCTTTGTGCCTCCCAACCTGGCTGGACGTGTAAGAGTGTGTACAAAGGCGAGGCCCGAAGGGCGAGTTTAAAACAGGCAGGCAGACACACAGGCGGGGGAAGAAAGCTTCATGGACCAGGGAGTGTCATTGCCCGTTCGCGTTTTTGTACTTTATTTGTTCTGTATGTCTCTTTCGTTCTGATGAATGACAAGGATGTACCCAAGAGCTGGCAAGGCCAAAAGCAGCGGTACGCTGCATCTGATGCACCTCACGCAACACTGACTGACTGTATGCGAATGCCTGATCCTCATCCTTGAAAGCCGCCCTCTTGAAGGAAGTACAGTTCGTATCTTTTGACTGCATTGTGTCCACACGACTACGACAATGATCATGAGCCATAGAGACGTGCTGACACAAGGCGAAGCACGTCCTCTATAGGGGCTGTAAGGCCATCCCGTCTGTTCCCGATGGTCTCTGAAGTCAGGTTCCATTTTCGCAATCCAATCACGCCAGCGAGATCCGAGTAGCAGTGATTCATGTCGCCCTTTCCTCTGTTGCCTGAAAGGTGAGGACAAAGCGACTTTTGAAAAAAGGACAAGCATGGGATCGTTGCGCCTTTGCGTCTCCTCACCAATTGCTGCATGAATCTCGATAATCTCTGCGCCTTTGGCACAAAACACCATGTTGCTGAGCCCCGCGCCGTGGGGAGCAATGACAACGTCTGCCTGCATGTGTTTTCTCATGGCCTGTTCGAAGCTGTCCTTGGGTCGGAAATACTCGACTTTGACGTGAGGGAATGACCGTCTCAGTCTCGCGCTCAACGCTCTCAGATTCGACAGCGCGCGAGACTTTCGACGCACTTGTATCAAAATGTGCGGCTTGGTTTTCATTGGCAACTTGAGTGTTTTTTCGATGTTGGCGATAAGGAGGTTTCGGATTAGACGGACTGCGGGCGCGCGGGAGTGACCACATTTTGTTGCGGATGGTACAATCAGCCGCTCGACAAAGAAACATGGCTTGTCATAAGGAATGACCCGAGACGAATCGATGCCGAGAAGCTCGAAAAAGCGCCAGGACCACTTCAAATTGGTGTGCGACAGTACCCTGCTGCTCGTGTCCTCGCGCAGCAGATCATAAACAAGGGCGAGACGCATGAAGTTCTCTGCACACGATCAACGGTCGTCCGCACCAAAAAGCTGTGTGTCTTTGTGTGCTGCTATATTCACCAATTAGAAAGTGAAAATAGTTGTCTCCCCACATCGCAACCAGCAGCACAACGCTCCCGCTCAATTGGTCCACCGGCCCATTGACGAGGCTCTTCAGCGTATCGTGTGTGAGGCCATTTGCGGCTTCGTGAGCTCTGCACCTACCAAAGACCACCGCCGAAAAGCAATTGAAGACCACTGAGTGTTTGCCCAGGACATAGGCACCCTTCACCGTGTAGACCATGCCCCGATCGACCACTCCGTCCTCGACTGACGACACGTCAAACTGGGGAACCCGCCTTGAATGTATACCGCTCTCCGACATCCAGGGCGGTACAGGGCCGGGGGAAATGACTCGCAACTGTAGTTCTCGAAAGGCTGCGATGATGAGCGGACCTGTCTTGTTCCAACATCCTCTTTCTGGTGTAAGGTCGTCGCGGGGAGTCTCGCGAGCCTCAGCGGGTCTCCTGAAGCGCAGCAACAGATACCGGGGGATCGAAGGGAGGGACAAGAAGGCCGCCGAGACCAGGATGAGGGCGAAAACTTGCCACTGCCAATTCAGCATAGATAACATCCATTCCATATGAAAATAATCGGGTTGTGATAGAAACAGTCGGCAATATCCTCGCCAATCGCAAACATAAATCCGTGGGCGCATGGGGGCGATATCGCAGGGATCATGCTTCTCTTCAAGTTGCTTTGGACCGTGTGCCTAGTCATTTTATCGGTTCGTCGCACGCGTTCGCCGCCGGTGGGCCGTGGCCTGCAGGGAGTTGCAGGCTATGAATGGCTTGACATCGGTGAGACGAGGCTGTCGCGGCTTATCCATGAGGGGGGACTCTCCATGGTCTCGTCGCTCGATGCTTTTCCCACCTCGACGGGCGACGATGGAGGGCTTTTCACGAGCACCGAAGAGGAGATGGGCCAAGCACCCGGACCTCCTCTCGGTAGGTGAGATTCGATATAGCCACCTCTTCTCGATTTAGATTGTATGTCGAGCATCTTCACAGATGAGTGGATATCAGTTGGTTGCTACAAGCAGAGTGCGCTGTTGCCTCCCACGCTGAGCGACTTCCGCCCGCTCAAGACAGAGAATGAGACATCGGTTGACGGGCCGACAGAGTCAGAGATCATCAAGGTGGGCATCAAGCTGCTCAAGTACAGGCGGTTTTGGTGGGGCACGCCACTCGCCCAAACGTTTGACAACAGGTACACACACGACACACTCATGGTAGACGCATGTATAGCAAACAAACTCTGCTTGCAGCGGGAATCCTCTTGCGTGCGTGAGGGAGTGCTTCAACCAAGGCTACAGGGTGGCCATGATGACTGTGAATCCCTTCATCCAGTTCGCCAACCCGCAGCAGAGGATTCTGATCCCTGGTCGTGCCCCAGACAAGACACTCTACTTCTGTTACTGCAACCATACATTCACAGGACTCTCGCGCCACGAGAGCGACTCTGACGGCCCACAGGCGAACAAAACGGCGGGGAATGGGACTGACACTGAGCCGTCGTCAGGTTGCTCGTATGAGTGCAATCCAGAATACTACAGCCAGGTGCCGTGGGCGTCATCCGCATATCTGGGGAAGGCATGGGGTCAGCTGTGTGGCGGACTCGCGCCTGACTCGACGTCTCGGTACTCAGTGTATGTCCGCTATGATGGGGCCTTCCTCCCGGGCAGAGCCGCTTTCGATCCGTGGGTGAGTTCTACGGTAACGGTACACAATTGCTATTCTTTCCTTTCCACCCAGAGGAGTATTTGGTGGTCAGTCGTCGGTGTTGCGGACGACTCGGTAATCGAGCCACGCTAGCAGCTCGCGAGCCTCGTGCATCCTTCTTTCATGCAGACAGTCAACCCGTCGATACCCTTCCTTGTCAACGCCACCAAGTACGTGAGCCCATCCGATGTGCTGCCACCTCAGTTTGCCTTCCGCTGGTATCTCAAGGCAGCATACGTCAACCTGGAGACACACTCGTCCCTGCCAATGTATGGATGGATGTGTCTACAACCTTCACTGCGCACACGAGAGTATTTAGCTCGTGGGAATGAAGGTGCCTGTCTGTGTCGTCTGCAGTCTCGAGTGGCATCGTCCGCTGCAGCACCCTCTCGCAGTATGAATGCGTGGCGAGCCCACAAATTACCCTCTGCCTCGATATGCAGGGTCTTCAATTCGATGAGGACCACCACAGGATCGTCGGCATTGTCTGGCCGGGTGGGTGCGGAACTTGTACACGTGCTGCTATTGTCTGCTCCTTCTTCATTGTGTCTAGCTATCACTGTTGAGCCCGGGAGACCACCAGGATCAGAGGACGTGTGGTGGGAATGCATGTGCAGCAAGACCCCTTACATGGACTCCTGCATTTCGGTGTGCTCCTGTCAGGCCATCGATCTTAAGAATTGTGACCATTCGGACCAACGGGAGATTTAAGGTGAGAGTGACATGACAGGGTGATTTGTTGTCAACTCGCGTGCACATTCAGGACATAGACATTCGGTTCAAGGACCGTCAGTTTAGGGTGTCGGGCGTTGATGGCCTCGGCAATGTGGTCGATGCATTCGCTGTGACGGCACTGGACTCGCTGCTGGACGTATACTACGTCTCCCGTGCAGCCAACGCGACTGCCATCGACGATACACAATGTGAGACACGCGTGCGGAAGGCGCACAGCACATCGAATGGTGTCTGCTTTTCACAACAGCGGCTATTGTTGGCGTGTCATTGAATTGGAACACTCCCTACGCTGCCGCCACCAATGATTCAGAGGTCCAGATGTGGGATGCCGACTACAGCGATGGCCGTGAGGGCAGTGAGGACGCGGAAGATGACCTGGTGCAGAGCCCTCAGGAAGCTGCGGTGTTGGTCGAGTCAGCGGTGCCTTTCAGGACAGCAGCTGTCATGTCCAATCCCGTCTTCCACGAGGTGCACGCCCTCCTATACGACGACAGCTCTCTTCAGGACTCATACGACCCCTTCTACCCTGGAGCGGCTGGCGAGGCACACCTGCACTTAGTGGTAAGAACGCGTGATGCACTGACGCACGGAACATTTCGTCTTGTTTGCTGGCAGGAGTTGGGTGTTGGCGAGCAGGCCAGTCGGGTGTGCAGCTATGATAAGGCGCCCTATCAGGTCAACTTCACATGGACATTCCAACTGACACAGAACGAGGATGAAAAGGGTCCCATGGCGCCTGCGCCAGAGAGCTATGTCAATGAGGAATTCGACTTCGCCTTGCTGCCCACATCACCTGGGCAGCTGCCGGTGGCTCCTGCTCACTTCATCGCGCCGGGCAGCGGCTGGATTCTCGGCCGGCTCAACAGCACGCTGGTGCCCCTGATCGACAGGCGGGCTGACAGCGGCGACTACGCCAGCCGATTCTATCTGTACAGTGCCGCTGCCTCGCCCGCCCCGCCGCCTGATGTCGTGCTTGAGCTGGATAGACAAAACCTCATCGTCGCGCAGGAAGCGTCGAGAATCGGCGGCATTACGTGCATCCGAGCGGTGGAAGACTCGAGGCCAACCGGGAGACAGGCAAGAGCATGAAGATAAGTCTGAAGGGGAAGCTGGCGGATTGCTGCTTGTCGGTTTAGATGGACATAGAGGCTGTGCTGCCCGGCATGGGATTCGACCCTGAGGCGGAGTATCCCTCGACCACCTATCGCTACACGGACGACGAGAACTTCCAAGCCATCATCGAAGTCAGAATGTCCAACCAGCTGCTTTGCACGATCCGCCAGCCCCCATCGCCAGGCTATGCGACACGGCTCGTCAACCACGCTCTCATCGCAGAGGGGTGGACGAGAGAGCCGGCTGGCCGCGGGGCACTGGAACAAGAACCCATCGTATGGACGGGCAAAGGGAGAGGGGACCACGTTGATCAGCCCGCCAGGTGTGTGCAGAAGCAATCTATGGATGTCTCCTTCTATGTGTAAGTTGGCTTGCAGCCACGTGGCAGTGTTCAGCACCTGGACGCCGATATCCTGGGATGTGTATCTGTGGTGTGAGGACCTGAGGTACCCCGGCGTGGTGTCTCCGAGCAACAACCTGGGTCAGCCGGTGCGCCTCTATGACTTGTTTGTCGAGCCTGGCGCGCGATGCGGCGACACTCTCAAGTTTGAGACTGACCTGGGCGAAGAATGCGGTAGGTGTGCTGCTATGCAGGGACAGCAAGGGTTGAATGAGGGGTGTGTGCGGCAGATGACGGCAATCTGTTCAAGCTTGATGGCTGCTCGCCCTTCTGCGCGGTCAAACATATAGCAGAGAAATACATACCAGCCGATGACTAGCCCATTACTTGGCTCGATTTCACATATTCAGGTTGAAGAGGGCTGGAACTGTCAGCGTGTGTTCTCTGTCTTTGGCACGTCCTACGAGCAATGCATCCCGGTACATTACACGAAGCAAGCAAGTGTGCAAAACTGTGAGTGCCTTTCTGTGGTGCCAGATATGCGGCTACATCTTAGATGACGGGTTTGCCTGCTCCACAACCAGCATGAAACCGCTGCCGCCGCCGCCCCCGCAACTGTGTAAGCAAGCTGAGACGAGCGTTTATCCACTGGACCTCTAAACCTGGTCAACACTCTTCCTTCGTCTTGTGTTTTGTTTCAGTGTACTGTTTCGACGCGTGTGTGCAGTCGGTGCGGCCGGAGCTGGGTTGTTCGCCGGTGCAGGGGAGAGTCAAATCATGTGTCATCCCAGAGGCACCCAAAATAGTCCGCTTCAAGTACGTTAAAAGACATCAGACAAGTGGGAAAACAGGCAATGTCGGACGTTTCAATTTCCTTCCCTTTCTGGGCGCAGGCTGACGGATGACTTGGCGTTTGTGGACGCGCTGTTTGACATCGAGACGAACTCGCCGGTCGATGAGAGCAAGCCCACCGACTGCAACTTCTTCTTTAGCAATGCTACAAACTGGGTGGGTGAGTCAAGGAAGGCACAACGATTCCGCACCCACGCACGAGTCGGTGTCGACTGCAGTTCGGCAACGATTCGTCGTGCTCGTGGCAGTCATCAAGCCACCTGTCCATATCTCTCTCGATCGACAACCAAATATTCATATATATATGGACGAATTGAATAGCGATACGCATGCGCTTTTATGCTTCCTGCAGAGCGGACTGAGGGTGAATCTGATCGGCGGCATCATCGGGCTGAATTTTGAGAAGTACAGACTGCCCCCCCGGCGACACGCAGGTGACAACCAAACAGCCAAACAAGCAAACAGTCGATCAAGTAGCTGTCTCACTCACTCACTCTTTGTCATCAGAGCTACAAGAATGAGTTCAATGAGGAGCAGGAGGTGTTGCTCGAGAATCCCGACATGGTGGTGCCGCCGACCATGAAGCTCAAGACACAGTCAGTGGTGGGCTGCAACGGCGAACTGCGGATGGACGCATCGGAGTCGCGGGGCGGCATGAGGCCGCTCGCCATTGACTGGTCATGCATCGACTCGCCCTGTGGCCAATCGCATGCCGACAGCCTCACAAGAGTCCTGGAAGACTTCAGAGTAACAACAACAGTGAGACACAGATGCGACTTCAAACTCGGCGCTGTTGCTGTGTGTGGACGATAAGGATATGAGTTCGGCCATCGTCGGTGCGGCGGTCATGCGGGAAGACGTATTGGACGACAGGCCATTCGCGTAAGTGCCAACACGTATGCGAGAGTGCGTCTTTCTCTGTGCTCACGCTGATCGATCAACTTGTTCACAGAGATTGCGTCGCGGAGTCCAACAGGTCATCATACACGTTTCGTGTCAAGGGCACCAATGAGCTGGGGATCTCCTCGCGGATGGATGTTCAAGTGAGCATACTAATATATTCACTCATCAGCAGACGTCTCATCGGGCCTGTGGCTGAGAATTCTTCAGGTGAAATATGTGGACTTCCCTGTGCCGATGATAGTGCCTCAGACCCCCGTGAGCCAGGTCGTGAACGGTAAGAAAGAAGCGAGGGGGCAGCGAGTCGCTTGCAGATGTTTTCTTGATTTCAGTGTCGGATTTCGTGGTGCTGGCTGTCGAGACATTGTCTATTTTGGAAGCAGGTGATTCGAGCCTCGCTAAAGGAACTCCTGTGGATACGCATGAGCTGTCCTGTCTCTCTTGTCCTTCAGCGAATGGTCAGGCTCTGGTGTGCGATTCTGGCCAGATCCCTTCGCGATTCAAGTGGGAGGAGCTCGGCGTCGACGAGCCATTCCCCATGGAAGCAACTATCGGAGGCAACCCAGGATTGGCCAAAATTGCGCCATTCCAGCTGGCAGCCGGGAGAGACTACACCTTCCGGGTCCTCGGTAAGTGAACAGAACAACTTCATCGGCACGCCAACGACTCTGGCTTTCCTGCTATATAGCTGGCTACACGCTTGAAGAAAAGGACTTGCAGCCGAATCTGGACATTGTGGTTTCAAACGTATTTAGCATCAAGGTCTGGGCAGTAAGAAAGCATCCTGGAGCAAAAGCATCTGCGGCCGATGCAGGTGCTTCCCTCAGCGCCGATCCCGTTCATCAACGGCGCCAAGAGAGTGACTGTTGGCATCCAATGCCCGGTAGGCTCTCGTTCGTGCCTCGCAAGTCACGTCTGCCTCTTTTGTGTTCTCTCTCTGACAGTTCCAGCTCGACTCATCAGGCAGCTTTGATCCCATGGTGCCAGAGACCATGACAGGGATGTTATCGGAGGACGACTATGACTTCTTCTGGTAGACTTCGCCTCTTGGCCTTCAGACAGATACAATAGGGAAGAGACATGACACTTCGTATGCATGTTTGTGCGGCTGCAGGGCGTGTCTCGACATCACTTGGACAGATGGGGCGGTTGACTTCTATGGAAATGTCCTAGGCGACGAGTGTCCAACTGCTGTCTTTGATCCAAGCAATTCGACGAGCTCGCTCGAATTCCCTGCGAATACATTCTCCCCAGGTAACCAAGCGATGCTAGGACGGGATTTTCGCTTCCGAAGCAGTACTCCCCTTTTCCAGGAAGTGTCTTTCGCTTCTCGCTTCGGATACGACGAAAGGAAATCAGCGAAGAGCTCAGCTTGACGAGCTCAGAAGCGGTCCTGGAGGTGCAATTCGCATTCAAGTGCGGTACATGACCATGCAACAATAGGTGGAGCTGCACAATTGGTCTCCTCTGTCTCGTTCTGACAGAGAAGACGCGCCGGCACCGTATGTCACGTTTCAAGCCTTGCCGAACAAGATATCTTCCATCAGCAGTCTGACACTGATAGCAAAGGTCCCCATGGACGTCAATAATGCTACCAGCTGCCAGTGGCAAGAGCTAATCGGTGAGTCGAAGGAAGATTTGCACATCAGACACACACACGTCCTCGGAGGTCTCATGGACATTTCAGGATGGAAAGCGCTAGATCGCCCTACTGTTTTGCCAACCAAAAAATGGGATCCCTCCCAGCCGCCTCCCCTGAGTGGCCGCGCCGGGGATCTCTTCCAGACGGCTGACAGTAGAAGGCGTCTTACGGATGCACAGCACAACCGCCGATCACGTAAAGACGCGAAGCGCAGAAGGCTGCAAAGCCAAGCACAAGTGACGGGCTTCTATCACGACAGCAGCGAATCGTGGGACTATGAGTACTTCTGGACGAGCGTCCCAGCAGCTGAGTTCACCGCAGGCAACGTCTACGTGTTTCACTTTGTTCTCGGCGATGAGGCAGGGGAGACCTACGGCTCTGTAAGCCCTTCTCTGCCCGTGAACACCCCTCCAACATTCGGCACACTCGATGTGCAGCCCTCACAAGGTGAGCTTGAAAGATATAAGTGACTGCGCATCTGCTCTCTGTCTATTGTCCCCCAGGCATTTCTCTGCAGACCCAGTTCCAGATCACTCATCTCGACTGGAGAGATGCCGACTTGCCCCTCGAGTTTTCGATGTGGAGCATCAGCACACTCGTCCTCGGCAATGAGACGTGGAACTTTGATTCCAGCGGTATGACATTCTTCGACTATTACCAACAGCGGACGGGCCGGCAGCTTCTCGACTGGCCACCTGATGAAGACGAGACGCTGCTTAGCGATTGGAGGTTTTCTGCAGCCGCATTGTTCACCTTTTCCGAGGGATCATATTACCTGATGGGAAGGGCGAGAGACGTGCTGGGCATTGTGTCGGCGCCAATTGTCTCCAAGATTGTCATACACTGCGCCAGCATTCAAAGCGAGAAGGCTGCCGTTGTGAATCTCGTCGATCAGCTGTCATCGCAGAGCAACAACCCGTCCCAGCTGTTCTCTGTGGTCGACAGAGCGACCTGGTCGGTGACGGCTGAGGATGGGGACGCTGCTGCCGATGAGCCTGTCCCAGCTGCCAGTGACGCTCTGGTGAAGGGCCTCGCAACAGTGAGCACCCTGAAGGGTGTCGAAGACACGTCTCCAGAGGAAGGCACAAACTATGTGAGGACGCTGAACAAGGCCACCAAGACCGAGTCCGATCTCTCCGACTTTGCGAAGCGCGGTGGCATTGACATGCTGTACAACACGTCACTGGCGCTCAACAACTCTGCCGCAGAAGACATTGACTACCAGACTTCCCCCGGTGTGTACAAAGTCGACATGAAGAACTCGACATCGACAGATTTCCTCAGTGCCGCATCAAATTGTGGAAAAGGAAGTGGCGAGAGAGACATCCGCACCAAGCAACGCGGTGCTGCGGACACGGTCGGTAATCTGGCAGCAAAGACTTTGCTCGACGCTGAAGTGACCGACCCGGTGCTGGTCGATACGGAAACCATTGACATGCATGCAGAAGCGGCCGACCCGACCAAAATCGACAACAAGGCAGTGGGCTTCCCTGGTGTCGAAGAGGCTTTCCTTCTCCCGCCAGACTTTTCGAAGACGCTGGAGAACATAGCCGCAAAGAAGAACACCTCTTCAAAGCCATCCAGCCACTTGGGCCTAGTGGCGAATCGCTGGACAGAGAATCCTTTCGCCACCGAGTCAAATGAGACAGTTGATTCCAACATTGTCGCACTTAGGCTGGTGGACCAGGAAGGGGTGAGAGTGATCAGAACAACTCATTCACGAGAGACCTGCATTCGGCGTAGTGGTGCTTGTTGTGCAGGGTGGGTTGGCTGTCGAGCCAGGGAGCACGGCAGGACGCATTGCGATCTTCATTCCGTGGAAGGAGGACTACGACATCGGTCCCCTTCTGGATGACTGCATCGTTCTGCTATACAGCTGGGACTTTCTCAACGCCGTCTTCAGCGATCCCCTTCGTCGGCCTGAAGACCTCACCTTCGCCACCCTACGAAAACTCAAGACGATTGAGAAAGTCTGCCGCACTTCGGCTTTCGAGCTGGACGTTGCAAACTTCACAAGACCTGACGGCCGAAACTTGACTGCCTTGGTTGATTTTCTGAAGTGGGACGCCAACAGGAGATATGAATTCTCTCGACAATTCGTGCTGCGCGAGAGAGACACAGGCTGGAACACAACCGATGCCGGCAGGGGCACCTCTAGTGACGCAGCAGGCAATGCGCAAGCAGACGACGATGTCAAGGAGGAGCCTTTCCCGACCGAGACGGTGTACGGCATCCAGATCAGTTTGGACCACTTCCCGCAATGCAGCTATTGGGACGAGGAGTCTTGTCGTGGTCAACAGCAGGATGCAACCCGAAGCTTTTCAATCTCGTAAGCAGCACTACCTCTGTCTCTCGGAGGTGCGACGCCTTCCTTATTGCAGGGTGGCTTACAATGCTCCTGTTCTCACCTGACGTCGTTTGCATCGACCCCGGCGTCTGTCCTGCAAGAGTCCAATATTGGAGTCGTGACGCAATTCGATGCTCTTCTAAACGTCCAATGGAACAACATTGGCCTCTGGTTTTCAATCGCCCTGTGGCTGTTCTTCATTATCTTCGCAATCTGGGCCTACTTGAGAGACCGCCGATTTCGCATCACTGACGACGACCTCCTACGTTTGTATTTCCTCGATGACCCTAACTATGCAGCAAAGAAACGCGCTCAGCCTTCAAAGTAGATCACATCAACTCGCCGACGATGCACTGCTTGTCTCTTTGTCAGGATTCAAACCATTATTTCATCGGTTTCGGCTCTCTTTCAAAAAAAGAAATCGCCCACCCAAGTGTGTCATTGAACAAATCACATACAGTTCTGCGGTAGATTTCTCGATTTCGCTTGGCAGCTGGCGGTCGAGTATGATTCTTGTCTGCAACAAAGGGCTGCTATCCGCCCGTTGCAATATTACGTCGGTGTGAAGGCGAAGAAGATGCCAACAGGAGCGCCTGGTAGGAACGCCAGGCGACTCCGATTTCTTTTGTTTGTCCGATTTCTTATAGGGTATTATGATTTGGACACTGAGAGTGAGTTTTCGGGCCTGTCTGTCGTGGAAGGCTATCTGGACGCCCAGGCCGAGGAGATTCGTCGGTCGGCGGAGGAACGAATGAAGCGGGCAGGCGACAACGGTGCTGAAATACAATGAGGAGTTATCCCACATATCACCTTTTGTGTTGTCCGTTCCAGCACTGATTGTCCGGCAAGTGCAGAGATTCCGGCCAGGCCTGCGGGGGTATGAGAATCCGAAGGACCGCCGCGAAAGGGTACAAGAATGCTCTCTGCTTGACGGTCTTATTTGCTCGTTGTGTCTCGCCACAGTTGAAGGAGCTGATCAGTAAGTGGCACGATTCGCAACTGCTGGAGAAAGTGGATGAACTGAAGGACACGGTGGCGAGTCGCAAACTGCTTAAGATCCAGATCTCTCAGGTGGCTGGGCTACCGTCATCGCTCGAAGTCCTGGCAAGCACGGCCGAGCCAACCCAAGGGTTTGTGCCCCTCTTGCTCCGGAAGAAGGCCAAGGTCAGGACAGCAGCAGTGAAGACCTCGACAAGGCTGGACGTGGCACGCAGCGAGCCGGAGCCTGTGTTTGTGGAGGCTTATGTCCTCGAGCCGCACAAACTGGCCTTCTTGTCCGAGGCCGGCAAGCCGCTGCCCGATCCTGAAAACGACAGTGATCTGGTGCAGACGCCCACCGTCGACAAGGGGCCTGTCACACGATTCCCAGCGGCAGAATGCAGTCTAGAGCTCCCATTTAAGAGGAAGGTGAGAAGGGACAACGAATGAGCGAGAAAGAGCCTGAAAGGTATGTTTGTTGTGAATGCGCATACAGGAGGACATGATTCTGCTAAGAGTTGTCGACAGCAGCCTGACCGATTACCCTGCGCGTCTGGCTGAAGCGGTGCTGAGTCTGTCATCTCGTCGCCAGCCAACAAGTGAGCCACTACGCATTCCGTTGTCCCTTAATGCAGCCATCCTGCCAACCGCGACTATGCAATTGAATTACCATGTTGAGGATGATGAGAGCGGCGGGAGGACGGCCACAATCCAGATTCAGTCGGCTCAGAATATCCCAGTCACGGCCAATAAGGCAATGAATATCTATATTGAAGCCTACCTCACCGAGCAGCTGTCTGGCAGCCAAGCTCAGCCATTCCCTCAGGAGGAAGAAGCACAACCGCAAAAAAGGGCCGTTGCCGACCTCTTTGGACGAGTTCAGAAGGCTTGCTTCGGCATGTTTTCTCGCGAGACGGGGCCACAGGCTCCAACAGGACCACCGCTCGACCGCCACGTCCCGTCCTACGCAATCACGGCAGCAGCGGATGTGGTCGAGGTGTCACCGGTGGATGAGCTGTCTTTCCAGTTCACCCAGACGGACATCGGCAAGAACGTCATCAAAGTCTCAGGTCCGAGGGATTTCGGTGCCCTTGTGTTGAGGGTCGGCTGGCTGCCCAAAGATGGGAGGAGGAGGGTCGTTGCTGGGAGAGGTGGCACTGCCGATCAAGGACGCCCTCTGCAAACCTGAGTTCCGCAACGCGCAGGGCTACCGCTTGAAGAAATACGGCAGGGCTACGCAAAAACCAATGCTTGTCCAATTCTTCGGCGAAACAAGCTACGTCTACCCACCGGAAGTGCAGGAGGCCCTGGACGGAGCCGGCGACGATGCCAAAGAGATCTTGATAGTCCTCGCAGAGGAGGCGAGCAGACGCAGTGGGACGTATTTTGAAGAAACCAGGGCCGAGCCCAAACCGGCCGAGCGTGAGCAGGTCTTGGTTATGGAGAGACAGCAGGGACGCTCTGTGCGGAAAGACGCGCTAGCACAGGCCATCCAGGGGGTCATGCTCTCTGAACACCCCGAGCCTGGCGAGGTGGAGCCGTTGCCGGAGGCGAGGGACCAGGTGATGCAGGATATCATCAGACAAATCCGTGAGGAGGAGGAAGAGCTGTCCACAGAATCGATCAGCTTCACCCTGGACAAAGCTCTGGTCATGCTGCTCGACGAAGAAGAGTCAATGAAACAGTAAGACATCCCGGAAAAGCTGTTTGCTCACAATTGTATGTTTTTGCACATGCCTGTCTTAGGGACGCAGCCTTAGAGGCCTTGTTCTTGGATGCAAAAACGTCACGTGAGGGCGTGCGTGGAGTTCTTGTGGCGATTGATGTGACTGACTTTGGCTTGGTCTTGCGGAGAGGGTCGAATCAGGTCCAAATCGACTGGGTCCGCATTTGTGGAGTTGAATGGGCAGATGAGCCGATTGGCGAAGGTGAAGAGTCGGCTGAAAGCAGAAAATCTCAGAGATGGTATGGAAAACTCGCCAAGGGGTTCGAGACTGAGCATTTCTCTGGTGAGTCTGAAGCGGCCGTCAACTTGGTCGTTCGCGTCGACATCAGCCTGACGGTCCATTCGTCAACGCAGCTTCTCAAGGAAGCCATAGAGCAACGAGCGGCCCAGATGGAAGCCCCTGATCTTGAGGACCGGCTGAATGAGGTCCAAGTCCACCTTTTCTTGCCGAGAGAGGACGCTGAGAGGTTCACTGAGACCATCAGGAGGGGCAGGCGTGCCTGGCAGACCCGCCTATGGCACGTCGGTGAGGAGGAAAGCCGCCATGAGGAGGCAGAGGGTGACGAGACGCGACAAGCACAAGCAGCGGTGGACGAAGCAGCGGTCGAGCTGGAAGAAATCGAGGAGGTGAGAACACCACACCAACAAGACATGTGTATATTACAGGCTCGTGCAGGAAGAGGAGCCGTCTCACATATCTGTCGCTGCGGAATCGGCCATTCACGGTCCTTCCGAAACCTCGAAGGCCGAGGCCGTTACATTTGAGAACGAAATCTATTCCTTCAGCAGCCTCGGAGCATCCTTTACGGCCTCAGTGATTGACGTGGACTCTTCGGGACTGACGGTGTTGAAGAGAACTCAAGTCGACGAAGAAATGGGAACCACTGACGAAGGGGGGCCTGCAAGCATCGGCATTCCCTTCGATGGTCTGGTCTGGTGCAAGCACAGCTGCTCTCCTTCACAAGCGATGAGCACTTTCAGGAGACACTTGTACAAGAGAAGGTCCCCATCTCAATTGCACGCACCTTGCATCCCCCGTCTCCCTACCTGCTGACCCTGGCCCGTGTGCGACAGCCACTGAGCCCTCAGTCTACATCATTGTCTCCACGTCGACTGCGGCAGTGGCGGAGGAGATTCTCCAAGCAATAGAAACCTTCAGACGGTGATCAAGTATAGATGCACTTCGACGACCTTTTTCTCAATGTCTCCCTGTCTGATGTGCCCAAAAGTCACTTTCAAGCGCGACAAAAGCCGGAGAGTGCGCCACCGGCCCCTTTGGAGCAGCCAGCGCCGGTCGCACCCGATTTGGCTGCAGAGAAGAAGTTCGAGAGACAGGACACAAGTGCACTTCCACAGGAAGAGCAGCAGATCCTCAGACAAGTGGAGTTTTTTTCCTGGCCAAACACAAAGGTGGCGTCCAATGTTTTCATGAGGAACCACCCGCTTGCAAAAGTGCTGCAGCCAAACGCAATGCTCACATCCATGCAGAGGTGAGCAGTGACAGCGGCCAGAACAGATGAGAGCTTTGAGAACCTTTCTTTCCCTCGTGTGTCCTCTCAGGTTTCTATTACTTGCATGTGCCACGTTGGGCACCGCATTCGTCGGCGCTCTGTTCTTCACGAGCACGGCCACCGCTCTGCAGTGCGTACCTGTCCCTGCAAGCAACGCGACGGACAGCATAGCTGCCAACCAACGACACGGACGTGCCCTCTCCGGCACCCAGCCTTCCAAAGGCGTCGTTCAGCATCCCGACTGATTTGCTCTACACGACGGATGACCAGTGGATAAAGGTCTTTGGGGACCTTGAAAGTGACCCAGAGGTGCTGCCTTTTATGTTTTCACACGGATGTCTGATCCGCTTCACCTGAACGATTGCTCTAGGTTTCGGCTACGGTGGGGCTGACCGACTACAGGCAATCAGTACTGGGAGACGTCATCTTTGTCGGCCAGCCCGTCGTCGGCATCGAGCTCAAACCGGTCGGTACACTTGTGTCTCATTTGCCGAAGGAAGTGTCTTTTGTTTTTGCAATCAGGGTGGTCTGGCCAGTGAGATCGAGACAATGACTCGGCTGATTCAGCTCAAGGCGCCCATTGGCGGAACAGTGTCTGAAACTAATAGGCGACTGGACGACGCCGCATATCTGATCAATGACAGTAACAGTCCGATCCGATGCACCAGGGCAGAGACACAAATCTCCTCCTTTGACAAAAATGACAGGCCCTTACACTGAGGGGTGGCTGTACAATGTCTCTGTCTGGTCGCTGAGGGAGCGGCAAAGGCTGCGATCGTCCTTCATGAGTACAGCCACTTAGCGATTTCTCTCCCACCAGTTGCTCACCAGGTGTCAGTCTGTCTTTCAGATGCGATATCGTACAATGCCTCGCTGCAGCAAAAGATCCTGGAGCAGCCTGTTGAAGAGGAGGAGGAAGCAGCGGTGCCCTGCGTCTTTGAGGACCCCAACGAGGCAACATTCCAGATAAACTGGCGGCAGGTCTCGCCTGAAAGAAGAAAGAAAGAGGAGAATTCCCACAAGGAATGTCATTTTGTGGCTGCCGTCAGGTTTGGGTGGCGATATTCTCAATCGTCTTCTCTGTCCCCGTCCCCATGCTGCTCAAACAGCTGTTTGCCAAGCGTGTGGTGCATCAGCCGATGCACCTGCAAGACAAAAAGAAACTCATCCGCCAGTGGCGCAGAAAAGAGAAAGTTGGCGTAGTTCTCGGCTTCTGCTACCTATTCTGGTGCCTTTTCTTCCTCTTGATGTTCTGCGTAAGCCACATAAGAACAAGCCACAGGCACACTGCATTCTGCGAGTCATTGTGCTCTGCTCGATTGCAGGTCACGACATCGAAGCTGCAAGACGTCTACGACTACATTATTACGACGAAGCTGAGCTTTGCGCAGAAGATGATAGTCCGCCCGTTCTTCTTCGTCCTTGGCTTCTTCGGCCTAATCAAGATATCGACAATCGTCGACCACTTCAATGGGCTGCTGTCTGCCTGCCCTTCTTTCCTGGACTGGACCTTCCTGTTTGCAAATTCTCCTGAGGAGCTGATTGAGTCGTCGAAGGCCCTAGGGAGGCGGCTGGACGTCGACGAATTATCGGAGATAGGCGGCATACAAGACTTAGACATGTTCACGTAGCCAAGGCGACAGTCACTTGGCTCGTTGTGACTTTCCCCTTCATATTGTACTTAGACTTGATCTGTGTCTCTTTGCATTTATGCGGCCCCGCATGAGGACACGCGAGTGCACAAAAAGAGTGTCTCCAGACAGACATGAATGTGGTCATTGCAGTCCTTACAGACTCACCGCCATGCCATCACGAATATCATCACACGCGTACACGAGGCTTAGCCCGCACCACACGACCCACCCATCCTGCCTCACAAGCCGTGCATGGTGTCGAGAAAGTAGACCCCTTCTCTCTGCATACACTTCGTGCGCTGCAGCCGTATCTCTGTCTCCGTGGCTGGGTCTGTCTGTCTGTCTGTGTGCTTCTCGACTGACTGACTGCCGGGATTCTTCAAACTGTCTTATGGCATAATGTCTGCCTGATAGGCCGTCATAACCAACCATAACGCTGTGCAGGGCTCTTACACTTGACGACTCATCGAAAAAGACTGATCAATCAAGCGAAAGGTGACAGACACGCAGAAAACCAATCAGCCAACCGAAAAATAGATCAGCCAATACACCCACGGCACTTACATACAAGGCGGTGCAGTCATGTCTTCTTCTCCCTGCCCTCTGCTCATGGCACCCAACCTTCCCGTCTCGCTCAAGTGATATGGATGTCTCTCTTGCAAAATCACATCAGTCCTATGAAACAACGCACATTGTCCTAACTGTCCTATGGCGCCAAGACTTACGCAAAATGTCACGACTCTGTCTGGGGTCACTTGTTGGCTGCCGATGATTGCCCCGCTGCTGATTTGAGTATCGATTTGGTGGGCCGGCGGGTGGTGCCCTGCGATTGATCCATCGCCCTGTGGACAAAGACAAAAGCAGGCCGTGCGAAGAACTCTCACCCGTGTGCTTGTACCTGAGTCGGCTGCCTCGCATGGGGACCTCATCACTGTATTCCGCAAGCACTCTGAACGGCTGGGAGACTCTTCCTGTGGCTCTGCTCCCTGCCTCGTGGATGACGTTGTCACCAAACGCAACTGAAAGAGAAAGAAGTCGAGACTTCGTTTGAGTGGCAAATACTCTTGCACCCGCACCTTTGCTTTGTCGGCTGCTCGCGACTCTTTCTTCGAGTATGTTGGTGCGCGGCTGTTTGTTGCGTCGGCGGATGAGACTCTACCGCCTCGATGTGCGCCGGCGCGACGACCGGTGCGTCGGCCGACCGTTTGGAGCCGACGGATCAGGGACCAGCAAGCTGACAGAGACCCCAGGTTTGTGGCTGCATTGGTTTGTGGATGTTTCTGCTTACGGGTTCTCGCACAAGCAGATCCTCCTCTATCTCCCGCCGGCTTCTCTGTCGACCGCTGTGGCTGCATAGCAACAGAGACCATACGTGTTGGTTGATGTCTGCGTGGGCCTCTCTCTCTCTCTCTTCTCCGCGCAAACGCACCCAGGCCGGTCGCAGCAGCTGAGAGAACCTAGGCAGCCAGCAACACTGCAGAAGCCTTGAAACGGCCCCACCACCCGATTGGCTGCTCCTGCTGTTCATCGCCGCCATCTGTCCGCTCTCGGGCAGACGACCGGTCGCTGAAAACGCTGCTGTTATCCGTCCCAGTGGCACTGAAGAGGCCCTCAGTCTGGTAGCTCAGCAGCTGTGGCGGCGGCGGGCGGGGGGACAGACGCTCTTCCTCGAGCTTCTTCTGCAGAGCCGCTTTCTCTTCACGCTCAAAGGCGATGATCGACTGCAGGCAACGAGGCGAGAAAGTGACCGGCAGGGAGAAAAAGTGTGTGTGGGCTAGTGGATGGGTTCGTGCTTCTCCGTGTGATCGACAAGATACCTTGTACTCATTTAATTGAGAGTCCATCTGCCGCTCCCTAGTCTGAAGACGTGCCTGAAGAAGGGAAGCGTTGTGTCGATTTCGTCTTTCGGTGTCGTCGTGTGTGCTACCTCGTATCTTGCAATGATTCTCTCTCGTTCCTCGACAGTCTCTTTCTGCTGAGACGTGACGAAGGCATCTCTGAAAGCGTCCTTCAACGTGTGGTTCTCTTGACGGAGCTGAGCAAAGGAGCGCAGCCGCTAACAGAAGTGGACGCGTCTCTTCCAAGCTGTGGCTTACTCTCTTCATCTCGGCATCCAGTTTTCGCTCGCGATCTGACTTGCTGCTCTTCTGAACAACGACAAGAAAGCCGGAGTGAGGCCTTTCCATGCTTCCTCGGTGTTGCTCTCACCTCCGACTCATCGCCATCACTGTGAAGACCTGTCTCCTGGCGGTGCCCTTTGTTGGCGTTGTGAAGGAACTCTCGATATCTATCCCTCTACAGAAGAGAGAGACAAGTGCAACAAGTGTCCTGAATGGTGACGCGCACCAGACTGACATCTTTCACGAGACGCCGAAACGTCTCATCCCTGTCAGCCACCTGGTTAACAACAGACAAGAGGCTTCAAATGCAGCCGAACCCGCATGCAATGGCCCACCTCCCGCTCGAGGTCCCAAATCCGCTCATCCAACCCAGCAGTCCCTTGCTCAGCTGGTGGTGCTTGAGGCACGTCCCGCTCCCGTGTCGACTCCTCAGCCGCTGCGGCCTGCTCCGCATCGTGCTGGAAGGGACAGGCAGATCCGACACGCGATGCCACGACCTCCCCCCCCTCCCCTTCGTGTTTGTGTCGATGGGTGGCTTACGTCATCGAGAGCTCTCGAGCGAGAAGAGAGCTTGGCTTCGAGCTGCCGCTGGCGTCGCCGCAGGCTGCGGTTTTCTCGTTTCAGTTGAGCGGCGCGCTGCGACGACCAGACTCGTAAGCATGCATGCAGGAACTCCTGATGTCGGACCGTCACGCATGCAATTGTGCTTTCAGGGCCGATAGTTCTCTCAATCCCAACGGACCCGGTCGAGATACTGGGGATTCCTTGGACCCTGACGGACCTCGGGGAGATACTGGGGATGATGACAACGACCGGCGCGACAACCGGCGCGACAACCGGCGCGACGACCGGCGCGACGAGGCTGATGACTCCTTCAACAGCGACGGACCTGGGGAAGATACTGGGGATGAATGAAGTCCATCCGCGTCGCTGGCCCCGTAGACACTCACGGAGTACACGCTCTCCGCGCCGTCTCGGCGGTGTCGGTGCTTCACGGACGCAAGGTCAAGTGAAGGGATCATCGTCTCTCTGTTGGAAAGCATCATCGTTGTCGGGCTTGTCTCGAATGCAGGTAGTTTCCTGCCCGTGAGTGAGTGGAGTGGAGTTTGCTTCGTACCCGGGGGGCACATGGGGGCCTCCCGTTAATTCGTTTGGTGCACTGGCACTGGCAGATCTGCGTGATCAGGAGAGACCTGCGCCTCCCCCCGTGCTCAACGGGACGTGATCAGATGAAGCTCTCTGTCGCTTCTCGCTCCCTGGGCATCAGTGGGGATGAAGCGACAGAGGCGCTCGGAAAGGTACACACTGAATGCATGATATATGCACAAACAGACTCACTTGCGCTGATGATCTCTCTCAGGGGCACTTCATCGTATTCGCCAAGGGTGCCATCTATGTGATAGATCCCGAACAGGCCCGGTACGCAGACAGATCAGACAACACAGACATACGCACACACGCTGTGCTGCCTGTCTGCTCTGTGTGAACAGCGTTGCTCAGAGCCAGAAAACCAGTGTCGAAGCATGGGGCGTGCCAGCCGCTACATGGGGCATACCGACCAAACCGAAGGCGCTCATCCCCATCAGAGTGTGTCAGAAAGGACAAAGCGAGAGGATAAAAGGGCATGCAGTGCGGCTCTGTGGTGTTGTGGTGTTGGGTGTGCAGCGTGATATGGAGCATTTGATATGGAGACGATGGGCCTGCAGAGGGAGAGTGGAGGGGACTTCGTCGCGGCGCGAGAGGCAGTACACACCTACTGGCTTCAAGACCTCCAAGAGTGGTAATAGCAGCTGACACGAGAAGGTGGACCGCACGTAATCGCAGTGTGTTGTAGGTGGGTACACTCTGATGCTGACGGTAGGACACATGCAGAGATCAACACACTGACACTGTGGGATTGTCGACATCCATTAGGACACTTCAATATATTGCGTTACGAGGATGTCGACAGCGCTGCGTTTTCCAAGCTGAAAGCTCACGCGGGTCAACACAGCCACGGAAATCTCATCTGGGCGGCTAAATGGAAGCCGGTGGCCTTCGCGACCTCAACAGGCGAGCCCGGTATCCATGAAATCACCCTTGAGTCTCGCACGTACGTGGATTTTCACAATCTGTCAAGCCCCATCGATAAGAGCGAAGCTGGCTGCGAGGGCACACATGAAGTCGGCAAATTTGCGAAGGATGAGGTCATTCTGGTGGAGTGCATGAGGCCCTCTGACGCACCGAGCGTTTGGGAGATCGACGTCGCCTCGAGACGGCCTCTGCGGCGGCATGCAGGCATCAGCGGCAGGTATGTGAGACACAGTAAAGAACTAGCAGACCGACCTCATACTGCCTCTCTCATGGCTTCAGGATTTACCCCATTCCTGAAACGGAGAACGATGCGGAGGGCCATGCGCGCGATTTGCTCTTGATCAGCGATACCAAGACAGACAGAGTGCACATCTTCAACAAAAAGAATCTCACGGATGAGACGAAAGTCATCACGCTCGACGTCCCTGGGTAAGCGGCGAGCGAGGTGGACAGAGGGCGATAGAGGGAGGAACAAATCCGGTGGTTGTCTCGTTTGAAGGGGGCCAGGCAAGATGTCCTTCTTTAACACTGTTGACGATGCAAGCAGCGCCGCGCACTGGCTGGTGAGATCACCCACACACGGTGGCTGTCTGAAGAAGGTCCCTTTCTCTTTATCTGTCAGGCATTCATTGCATTGGGGTCCGATGAAGCCGATAGTGGCGTCGCTGTGGTTGACATTGGCGAAGTGTTGGCGGGGAACCTCACCTATTCACTCATCAGTGAGCAGACATCCAGTGGCACGCAGCTTATCCCATGTTTTGTATCGGCTTGTTCCGCTGTCAGATGTTGGGCCAGGTAGAATGTATCGCAGTATCGAGCGGGGCGGCCCATGGGTCTTGACACCCGTCGCTGAAGGGTGAGCTAGTGGCAGCTTGTGATTCAGCCAGCCAAGAAGTCAAAATTATCAATTGGCTGCTTCCCTGTGCAGGGGCGGTTCTTACACTGGCGTTGCGGTCATCGACGCGAGAACTGGCGACTTCAGAAATCTCTCAAATGTCACGTACGCGCTGAAACACGGCACAGCCATCAAATATTCGTTTGCCTGCGTGTCCGTCCAGAGACGCACAAAGCCTTCTGTGGATGCCCCACTGGACTGAACATGAGCTGACGGATAAGGTAATGTTTTGACGTCAAGGTGAATTGTCTATAATTGGCACACGGCATGGTGGTGTGTGTGTGGTAGGTCGGCGTGATAGGAAACACGCCCGATGACGCTGGCGAGCGCCGTAAGCTGAGAGGCGGTTTGATGTGACTGTGGACAAGCGAATAGAGCGCACTATGCCTGTTGGAGGGCAATGGCAATCGCATCATCGCAAAGCGAACATGCAGTCCTTTATGTGGTTCATGGGAATTTGTGTACGGTGAATGGATGGGTGGGTGGATGGATGGATGGATACCAGAGACACACAGATGGCCACGTGTGTGATTTCATGCACGTATTGCGATTCGTCCATGGATCCATCATACGCGCAATGAATCGATGTGCACATGCGGCTTTGTGTGGCTGGACCGGCCTTCCTGTGTGTTGCACATGCAGTTTTGTGTGGTGCATGCGATCCTGTTGGATTACGTGCACGTTTTTGGACCAGAATGTCACGGTGTCCACGGCCTTGATTGCGGTGGATGGAGGATTTTGGTGCATGTGTGCTGCTCGCGCATTCGTTCGTGTCGCAGCAAATGTTTGTGTATGTCCACGGGGGGCGGGGGTATGTGCGGCTGGCATTTATTATGGGGGCGGGTGGATGTCTTTTGACGATTTTGTAGAAAACCGGACTCAGACACGAAAGGGTCGTCATCAATCTATCCGTCATCAACTTATGTGGTGTGTAACCTCCAAGTCTCTTTCTCAGCCACATCTGCATGCCATCGCATCATTGACTCGACAACCGACGTACGCGCATGCGGCAGTCAATTGGCCAGCAAAACAAGCACATAGCTAATTAGCCTCACTGCTTGCTTCGTCGCTTGAGAGTGAGAGCATACCTGTTGTCGCCCTGACAGAACCATTCCTATGTCATTCACACAGATACACACGCATTTGGCCCGCCATGTGGCTCTCGTCTCAGCCCCCCCAGTATGGACAAACGAACAACAGGCCAGTTGTGGACAGACTATGAAGGCAAGAAGGTTGTGTACGAACCGAAAAAATACAGCGAATGCGAGGGCGTCGGTCGCAGTCATGTGTCGAACCGCACGGTCATGTCCACCTGCCGCGTAGTGGCGCCAGTGCAGATGCGGCGTCTGCCGTTGCTCAGTTCACAGCCAGCGTCGCAGCCAGTGTCGATGCGGATCCAGTTGCCGGACACCAGGGAGATCTCCGTATTGGTCCTGATGCGCTCGCCAGGCTCGACGGGGACAGCCCCTTCGATACGCAGCTGGTAGTGATGTTTCTCAGGGCTGATCGTGATGACTGTCCCGGCCTCTGAAGGGAAATAGCTGCTCGTGTTGGAGGTGAGACTGGTGAGAATCAGTCGGGCACGCGTCACGGTAGGTTGGGCGACGGTGTTGTCGATGGTCAGCCCGACGTGTGAGATGGCAGTCATCTCGGAGCGGCCCTCGGGTGTCTTGACGGTGCGCCTCAGTATGGACACGGGCGAAGTGTCGGCGTTGACTGTGCCATACCCTGCGGCCCAGCGGCAGTCCTCGAGAAACTGAATGGCCGCATCGGCTTCCCACACGCGGATGTAGCTGTTGGCGTTGCCGGTGTTGATGGCCAGGTGACACGATGTGCTGCTCGGCTGTCCCGGGCCGGGGCACCGTGGTCGAGCCTCAGGACAAGAGCTGTCAAGCTCATCGATGTCGGAGGCGGTTGTCTGGGCGCGGGACTCCATGAAGAAAGGTACGTTCGCGGTCTGCTTTGCCGTGTAGACCCAGTAGCCGCGGAGCGTGAGAGTGTCCTCGCACGGTCCGGGATCACCTCTTACTCCGCACCGCCCCACATGATTCGCCGCTGCTACGAGACCCCCGCCGGATGCCGCGTAGTCCCTGCGATTCGTACCGGGGATGATCGCGTACAGCCGGAAGCCGGCCAGCATATTCGTGGTAGTGCTCGACCGGGTGCGCAGCTGCGCCTCAATCAGAACCTGCCTTCCAGCCTCGAGGAAAAGTGTCGAAGAGAATGTCTCGAAGTACTTCGACATCTGTGGGGCATAGAGCCGCTGGCAGCGAATCTCTTCGCTTAGCGCAAATGACTCGGCGAGGACCTCCGCGCAGTTCCCGAGGGCGAGGAACGAGACAGAGAGGAACGAGATAGAGAGGAAAGAGAGGGCCATTCACAAAGCGGGGCGACGAATGGCGCCTTCGGGTGGTTGCTATCGGTAACGGGATCGGCGTAGCTTGGCGTCTAGCTGGTAGCTAGGCTAGCTGGTCGGCAGGAGGGGCCGCTTCAGCTGGGTCTGCGGGAGCGCCCGACGAGCTTCGGAGCTACGACGTCAGGCGCCTTTTTGGGAGGAGAGAGATGCTTGGCATTCTATTTTCGTTTATTTTTATGATGATTGTTCTTTGTAATTGCTCCCGTGTGAATGATTGCCAACATGAACGACACACTCCCAGAGACAGACAGACAGACAGACCGGCTAATCGGGTAGACGGACAGGGTAGGCGCCCCAAGGGAGAGACAGAGCTGAAGATGGGCTCTGCGGTAACCACTTGCCCGACACCTGTGTTTTTCGCATGAGCGTCGGATCATCTCCACGGCCACTGATATGGGTAGGCCTCGATGTGATCGGTCGACGCCCATTTGCGATCAAGCGATAGATTATGTTGAAGTTGCTGTGTGCCGAACACACACCGTGGTCAGAAGGATCAATCTCTGCCGTACAAGCCTTTACGCAAGGCACGCAACGCACGAGTCCATCATGGGCATGGCCAGCCCGCCAAGCAAGACACGCACGAGAGCTGCCAACGCTCACCGAAGATGCACGAAATAGAAAGACATGTCTGCAAGCTAAGCACAAACCCTGCTATCAAAACCCAACACCCCTTCTCACCTCACGGCGAAGCTGAGAGGTGGACAATCATGC